TTAGGGGTAAGGAACATCCAAAGTGCAGCAAATCCGAATGCAGAGCAGGATCACAGAATCAGTTGAGTTGAAAGGGRCCCACAATGATCATCGAGTCCATSACCTGGCCCTGCACAGGACACCCCAGGAGTCACACCACATGCCTGAGAGCAGTGTCCAAAMTTCCTAAACCCCAAAGACTTGGGGCTGCGACCACTGCCCTGGGGAGCCCATTCCAGTGCCCAACCACCCTCTGGGACATCATCCTTCTCCTAAAAGGGTAAATATCACTCAGAGTTTTCTCCTCTTGTCAGGCCAGAAGGAAGCCCAGATGTCCAGCCCGCCTGCACCCAGCTCAAGCAAAGCAAAGCAAGTGTGGGTGTTCCACTTTAGAGGAATGCAGACACCCTTCTGTCCAAAAGTGACAATATATTGGAATACAATGTACTCTTCATATTCCTGAGAAAATTACTCACAGAACTATAATGCAACAACATGTGGGTGTATTTAACAAAAGATGATACACACTTTGCCTAAAACAGGAAGTGCAGTGAACTTGGGATGACCAGGGCCAGTGACATCAAAGAAAATGACAAAAATGCAGGATTTCTACTACTGGAAGATCTAAAAAACAAGGCTGGTGCTGAGCTACATGGACTGTGTGAAAAGGGCAGATAGGCTGTGTCAGGCTGGCAATATAAATATGTATCAGAGAAGACAGAAACAAAATACATGAGGACCCCCTTCAGTAAAGATGTTCTCTCAAATCCAGCACCTGAATCATTCAGTGACTCACRTATCAGTTGAGGTTTGCACAGATTTCTGGAGATGGTCCAGCCCCAYGCCCCTGCTCCAACCATGGTCAGCAAAACTTCCCCAAAGCTGTTCCATTTTCTCCAATTGCTGCACTTGAATAAGATGAAGGAAAAACAGTATTACTATTTTRCCTTTCTCTAAAACAGCATGTTTAAGAACGGATTTCATGCTCATTTTAATCCAAATTCAATGAACTCTCAGGCACTCGGCTGAAGATCACAATCACTGTTGTTTGTTCTGGTACAGATTTCCTCAGTACTACACAACTTCCTAGCTAATAGCATCAGTACTGTAAGGCCACAGAAGCACAAAGGAATAGATACAGGGGGTTTACAAATAACTACAGATCACAACATTTGGGGTAGAATTTGTGCATCCTCTGTGAAGAATATTCACTCCTGCATTAAAATAATTACATCTTCTGCAGGGTGAATGTATTTTATGTGGAGAATTTCAGGGACCTTCAGAATTCAGAAATATATCAAACAGTATCTGTATTGCCTTTTTTTCTTGTAGCAAACTCAAAGCCCTGATGAAGTGCAACATACAATCAGTTACAGTAACCTGGTAGAAGATACTAAGAAAATGTGGAAAACAGGGTTACATTTAACACAAATGCCATCTTTGGGGGGCAGGCCAAAAAAACCCCAGTTACAGACAAAAAACCCCAATGTGAARCAGCGCTTTAGCATAGGGGAAACAGAACTGAGTTATGTGCAGGCTGAAAAACCACAGCGGGAAGTGGAGTTTTTACACATGAAGACCTTGATTTGGTCCTCAAGAAAGAACCGACAGCGATCACAAAACCAGGGTGGTGACCAGCAGTTACAGAAATCTAAAAAAGTGTCAAGCAGGAACTATCTAACAAGTTGCATTTGTTTAAAATTATTTCCGACCGAGAGCAAGCAGTCATCACCTGATTAGAATGCAGCATACGGTGCAGCAGACAGTGAGCACACGTCTGCACGCTCAGCTGCAGGGGGATAATAAGCTCCTGCTCGCTATAGGCACTGTGTGTTCCTGGCCTGTTACTCCTCGTGGCAATAACCTCCCTGTTATTAAAAAAATTGTACTCAAAGTGGAAGACAAACACTCATTTGCAACACTGAAGAAACAMGGTCCTTTACATTTGCCTGTTTCTACAAATGTGTTTTTACCTCTGAAGCTCTTCTAGATAGAGTGAAAAATCAGACATGCTAAATTAACATTTCCTGAACTTCTCAGGCACTTTCAGTGTGTGGGCTCCTCTTCTGCAACTCTGTCTTCTTGGAGTTTGCACTCCCACTGTGGGTTGTGACCTCTGATCTGAGACCACCATCCTACAGCCCGCTACTGGAGATAAAAATCTGGTTTGGCATGTGCTCTCTAAGAAGCAAAGGGTATTTTCTCTGACAAAGATTGAAAAGGCCACACAAACACTCTGGAGTATGAGAACACAGTGCTGTTGTACTGAGCACTTCAATCCAAAGCAGCAAAAGAAAATTCACCAGTGGTTAAAGCAAGGACCATCCAATTCAAACAATCAAGGCAAGTTTTCGCGCTCAAACCTCAAAAAACTACCATAATTTCTCAGGTGGAAAACTGGGAACAAATTCTAACAGCAGCTGAGACACACAAGGCTCTATATGAGAGCTGGAGAGCAGGTGGAGGTCACCTGCWGAGAGGTGAAGGGGCAGAAAGAAAAATGAAGAACAAACAGTTATTTTACTGAGAGGGGGTGAGAGGTCACAGTTTGTRCAAAGTTGGGAATGCTATAAACCACAGTTATCTTCATCCAGTTTAAAGGGAGAACAGCCTGTCATATCTTAATAGGATTGTACTGAATGTTTTAGCTACACCAGAGAACATGAAATGGAATTTGCAGAATGACCTGGCTGCAGCCCACGTCTCTTAACGCGGAGCAGCACTCAGAGCAGTGTGTGTTTCAACCATTGCCCAGCCGACTTCATCTCCGGACTGAAGTCAGAGGCACACAGAGAACTACAAGTTACTCAGTGCTCTTGCCAAGGGTTTTTCCCYGTTTTTTTCTCCTAATCTGAATTTACAACCAAGCTCCTGGGCTGTAACATAGATATGATACCAGTGTTCAGAACCTGAAATGCACCATCTTTGCTGCAATGTGCAACACCAGAGCAAGATGACATTTTTCAATGCCAGAAGGAAGAATGAGGAGGTTTTGGCTGTAGAGATTGTAAGAAAAGTTCTGAGGTTTCAAATCAAAGAGCTAAAGAAACATGCAAGATATAAGCAGTCTCTGCATATATGGTGCACACATTCACAAAAAGAATGTGAGTTGAATGACACAGGTCACAGGTTTTGCAAAAGAATTTTCTGAGTTAAATCAGAATGTAAAGAATATATTTTATATTTGCAGATAGACAGCTTTAACAGCCATAATAATTCAATTATGGACAACAGAAAGGGCGTTTTGAACAATTCACCAGCAAATGAGGGAAAGTGTCCAGAAGCCCCAGCATTCAGGTGTGGCCCTCACAAGTCTCAGCTGATAACAATATGCAGATTCAGAGATTTATGGCAGCTTTTTTTTTTTCAGTTCCATTTTATATAAGGGAATTAAAACAATCCACTAGCAACAACTGGCAGAAAAATACTGCTCTGAGAATAATCAGCCTCAACAAAACAACCTGATCTGTGTCTGCTCCTGCATTTGACAGGCCAGATTTTCTTGGGGCAGATTATGGTAACCTTTACTCACTCRTGTTGTCTATATTTGGATGCACGAAGTTGTGTTACTTCAGAACTTGTCAAGACKTGTAGACTTGCAGAAGAGTTTCCTTGGACTTTGTCCCTGGGCTGGCTGGAGACTTGGGTGAAGACTTGGAAGCAAAGGAAGGAGAGCAGTTAGACCTGCTGAACAGGACAGCCTGTCCAGCACCAGATCCTACACAGACACAGATCTCTTCTTCCCCCTTCCCTCCTTGCATAAAAACATGCAGTAAATTGCACTGGRAATCACAGCTTATTCTTTGAACCAAAAGAAGTGTTGGATGCATAAACTGCAACTCCTGTTGCTTAGTCTGAAGCACACTGCAGTTGTACTCAGATGTACTCAGATCTTGTTCTTTGTATTCCTGTTTGGAAAAGGACATTCCAACCTTCTGTAACCACCTCCCAGCTGTGATTAACATTAGTGTCTCCAATGTTAGGGATGGTACAGCACAGACTGGCCYGAGTGATGGAACAGAAACACCTCTGCAGATCAGGGTCATCGCTGGCACAGAAGGGAAGCAAAACAAGGCCAGTCCTCACTCACCTCAAGACAAACTATTTCTGGCACAGGGTGCATTTCTCTGAACAAGCGTTTTCCAAAATTATCTTTGCATAATGATCAGCAGAGAGATGAAACAACTGAGGAGGAACAGAACAGCCTGAATCGCTCAGCGACACGCACATCAAACTTGAGAAACTGGAGCAGTTGCTGCATCTCTACCAATTCAGAAGGCTCCTACCACAAGAAATAAGAACCTAACTTGTTAAAGCAWTTTTATTGAAGTATTTGGAGGGAAACTTTCATATCATGAGTAAAAATACTAGAGTTGAATCTTGTTAAAAAAAAAAGTCAGAATGATGGGCTCTCTCTGTGAGCACAGCAGTTTCTGATGGAGAGGGGAAGTGAGGGCTTTCATAACATACTCCCAAATAAAAATAATAAATGCTATTTAACTGAAATACATGTAATCATTTTTTATACAGTCAAGAGAATGAAAAAACAGAAAAAAGCAATTTAAAGAACGCAACCTACAATGGAATAACTTTATTCGCAGCAGAGACAGAGTAAGACTGCTTTTATGAAAATTACAAAGAAACATGATACAACAAAAATAGGGTGTGGGGAATTTCCCACTAAGATTAAAAATGAAAAACAAAAAAAAAATTCACTTTTTGAACACCATTATTATTCAAACACATATGAAGTTTCAACCTAGTTTTTTCATACATGGGAAACACTGTTAAACTGAATCTTCAAGAGTGAGAAGGCACCATGAACTGTTGGTTGATACCTTTAATGCACACTCAAGAAAGAAGAAATGATCTGGCATGATGCAAAAAATCATTAAGTGTTTATATATATTCATATATCTTTTCGTGAAAAAAAAAAAAAAAAAAAAGAAAAAAAACTTTGAAAACAAACCGACATCATGTAAATAAAGCCTTTAGATCTCGTTTGACCACGTATCAAAAAAAAAAAAAAAAAAAAAAAAAGCGGCAACAAGTCATTACTTCAGTGCCAAAATGTACTCGTGTCTGGCTGACTCGCTCATGAGGATGATTTCTCACTTAGACCTGTGTGGTATTTCTGTACAGTGGTGGAAGTGAGTGATTTTGTGTTGTTGCCTTTCATATTAGATCGGTAAATCAAGCGTTTTCTAGGTTCTGAGAAGCCAATCCTATGAAATATTCCTAAGTTCTATGCAAATGGAATCATTAAATGCACTGTCTAGAATGAAATACTCATCTGTACGGCGYGGCAATCCCACCGGATTCAGTTTGATATGTAATGTCTTGTAGCAGATGTTATAACAAAAATAACTTTTGCTTTTTGATTTACCTCACTGAGGCCATTAATGCTGTTCCTATAGTTGGTTTTCTGGAGTTGGATGACACTTCACTGCTGTCCAAAATGAGTTTGAACCTTAACCCTCCAGAGTTTGTTCACTTTGTTGCTTATATTATTGCACTAGCTACTAAAGTCTTATATCTTCCTATATAAATCTAATTGTTCAGAGTGCAGATTCTGTATTTAGATAATGAACTGTATGAAATAAATAAAATAAGGGGATTTTCTGGTCAGAGTTGCTGATATGTTGAATACCTTAATTATTTCTAAAGTAAACAGTTTTGGTGTATATTCTTAAAAACCTATGGTCATTCAGCATAAAAGCCTTGACATAATACTTAAAGAATGGATTTGTTCTCCTTCTCAAAAATGCATCAAAGAATTGTTTTAAATACAGAATCTGTGAGGCTTCCTACAAATTCATCTAAGTTGTAATACAAACACAGTTTGTAACTCGATAATATAGAAAGTTCTCTAGTGTCCATTGAAGTAAGGTCCCCAAAATGCAGTCTGTTTTGTTTCTGAATGGCAAAACATTAAGCGGTTCCACTGGCTGAGTAGGAGAACTGAGGAAAATGAGGTCTTCTCTCATTATCTACACAATCCATGCTGTCATCTGAAAGACGGAAAAAAATAACCCATTAGGTAACATTTGCTACCTTTTTTTTTTCAGCAAATCAACAATAAGATAAYGCATGGTAAAGTTATGTCAGAAGATAGTTGTTCAGGAGTCCWTTTAAAATTGCGAGGAGCTGCATTGCTTACATCCATATTCAGTGTTCTGAATTTCTGGAAATTGCTATTTGAGAGCATCAARCATGCTCAGTTATCACAAAAATATAATATTTTCAATGAATATGGACATTAGCCCATGCTCAACTGACTGCCTGCATATACACAATGCATGTGGATATGGACATGTGCAAAACTCATTATCATCACTGATTTCCAGTGGGAATGTGCAGATTTGGAAGAGACAACAGTACAATTAATTTCACTCTTATTAAACAGGATTTTCATTTCCCAGACTTGAAAGATGTGGAAGGTTTCACATCAATTTACCAACTTCTTAGTCAGATATATGGAATACATATATGGAAAACTCTCAAGTTTAAACTGAAGCTTTTTTATATGGGCTGGAGAGACCCATCATAGCAAATTATTTGTGGTGGTCTGGAGAACACAACGGGAAACAATTTGAAAAACTTTACCTTGGTCAGGAGGAGTGATTGTTATCATCTGTGCTGTAAATTCTTCATCAAAGTATCTTGTATCTGTTTCTGATGTAACTTGTGGCTTGAATGGAGGTACAAGCTATGAAGAGCAAAAGAAAAGGTATCAATTTACAGATTCYTGCAGTGTTATTTGAAACAAGTGGAATTTGACATAGTTATAAGCTACATTGTCTTTTCCTACATTCCTAAAATGTCTAAAAAACACCAGTTCACAAAGACGGAAGCACACACAGTAAAAAAAGTACTTACTTAGGTGTGTACTTCCTATTTATGAGGCATTTAAAGCATTTTTCACATAAGATTTAACTGCACAAAGAAAAAGTTAGAATTTTAAGATTTCTTCAAGTAATAACATGCTGACCGATGTTTAGAAATAACACCACATACTGGCTCCCCACATAATTATATRGAAATTGTCAACTTCATCTAATCAGATTTATGCTTAAGGAGGCTGAAAATCAGTAAGAAAGATGTTCTGCGATACCAAACTGATCAGCTAACCTTGTGTTTCACCACAAGGGTTGTAACATTCACCAAAAAGTTTCAGCTACAGCACTACTGTGTTCACACAGCTCAAGCTGGAGGTCTCACCAACCTGCGAGAATTAGGCCAGACCTAGGCAGCAGCTGCATTACAGTTTAATACTCTGGGTCCCCAAAAGCAGTTTGRTGTCAATTCTGAACTTCAAAAACCTCGAGTGCCTACAAACATCCAAGCCCAGCAGCAGTGAGCATCCTCCTCTTGCTACACCGGGAGCTGCACTAGCTGGGGTTTATTCCTGAGACTCGCTTGGGCAGACAGGCTGGAAACCATCCATGTGTACCTAGGCAAGCTCTGGCAAGAGCAGCTCCAGATGGAGCGGAGCTGCCTGACTGGGGCTGGAGGAGGAGCGCGCCTGGGAAGCGGGATGGGGAGCCGGCTGCATACAGATGCACACACTTGGAACACGGACAACTCYGGAGGGCAACGGAGCTGGGATTCAGACCCTGCTCACCTTCCCCTGCATAACCAGATGTAAGCACTGCTCTGAGCCCTCTGCCCGAGCACAGAGCAGCTCTGGATCCTGCTCGCCCACCGCCGGGGTTACGCGTGGCCATCTTTTAATAGCACACAGCCACAGCAGCAATGTGGGAGTGTGACTGAGGAAGTGCACGACTTCCAAYCCCAAACTGCAGGGAAAGCTACAGCAAGGCCAGCGGTAAATCGGTCCAAGTGACCCCAAGACATGCACTTCTGCACTTGCACAAACAAGAATGACACCGACAGAAATCACTACCTGGAAAACATCAGCAAATCTTGAATATACCAAACACCTCTTCCCCACCCTCAACTTTTCCTCCAGCTTGGATGTAAAGAATGATTTGTTTGTCAAGTTGGCAAATAAGAAAAGCAAGTTCCAAGCTCCCTATCAYCAGGATCATCTTTCTCATCTGTTTYGAGAGCACCTAACAGTGTTACAAAGAGCTCTCCAATGAAACACCTTCATTTTCAGTGTAAAGACTGTAAGAAATGTCATCTATACATATGGCAGTATTGCCATAGACAAAGAAGCATTTACCGTTTAAAATCAATCTTTAAAAATTAAGGGATGTAAGAGCTGTTTATTATAAGAGAGCACAATTATCGTATATATTCATTACCTTTTTTTTTTAATTACTCACAACTCTGTGCACCCAAGAATGGCTTTAAAGGAGCTGAGCACATTATTGTAACAAAAAGCACTAGGCCCTTAGAAGARGTCTCTATGTCCCAAATTTGAAAAGGAAAAGGAAATGATATCCCAAAGTCAGGAGTCACTGTGAGCCTGGCAGTGCCCCTGCAGCTACTGAAGAGGGATTGCTTCACATTACGATGTTAATTAACTCTTCTCAATCAAATCACATCAACATATTACACATAAAAGCCCCATGGAGAATGAAGATTCTTCCTTCCTCATGTAACTCTATTCTCTCTCTCCTTGTAGCAGTTTCTGCTTTCCTCTCAAAGCAAACCTAGTTTGTTTTTGACAGGCTGTGCATGTGTGTGTGTGAAGCTCTGTCCTTTTAAGTTAATGGTGGTTTTGGCACTCACAGTGCCCCCAGTTGCTCTGCTTGCTGTGCRCAGCACAGAGTGATTTAGGACTTGGGCACTGCAGCAGACACCTGAACTGAGCACATTGAACGACTCAGAGCAGCAATCCCATGCCAGCACACATGTGGAATGGGCTAGCACTGCCTGTATCATTTTCCTTTTTATTTTAGTATCTGTTAAAAGCAATTTGAGACAGATGATGATGCACCCACAAGACATCTTTTCCCCCTAGCTGTCAAATTCTGAGCGCTAAGCTGGAAACAGAGGGGAAGCCGCAGAAAGCTCCAACTCTGGCTTTAACAAGCAAATATGTCACTTTACTGAAAAGCTGTCACTGCAATAGCTCTGCAGTTCAACTGGCAGAGGGGTGCCACCTGTAGCCTCCCAYGGCTGCAGACCAGCATTGGTACCCMCAGGCTCATGCTGGTTTAACAGAGAAAAAGGAYCAGAAAAAAACCTCATGTGATTAAAATCTCTTTGTGTATGTTTTGCTTGTGGGTGGCCAAAATACTGAAAATTAAATCATACCTTTCTCTGCACCAGAGACAGACAGCACTCCTCCAGGTGAGTGTAATAAACATTTTAAATTTTGGGGACAAATCCAGTTATTCAAAGTTCCTTACAATTTAAAGCAAAGCTATGTTTCCAAAATGTTTAATTACAAAGCAAGTGTTCTGGATTATCCAAGCCCATATTCATACACACATTCAGCATTAGTGACAATGGTGGATAAMCAAACTTAGCACACAAACACATCTCAGCAGCTGACAAAATCCAGTTTTAATCCATGGAACTGCACTTCAGGTAAGTGCTGCAAGATCCTCTTTGGACCACCCAGAATGTAGGCAGCAATTACCCACAGGATCTCCATTTGCACCACGTGTCTACTTCAGATGCAAACACTAATGGGACACAAGCAAAGCCAGGATCTAGATTCCCTGGATTGACCAAGATCAGGAATAATCTCAATTAGCACATGGTTTTCTCTAGAAGATGCAAACATTTGGAATTTCCTGCTAGTTTTCAGAACAATCTGAATCAGTACCACTATGGGACAATTTATGAAGACTTTCTCAGTCCAATGGATRAACACATTGCCTTCAGCTTGTGTGATTTCTCTTTTGTTTAGGGAACCAAGACTACCACAAAATAATAAATCACTCAGAATTTGAGCCCCATTATCGGTTTTTAACCTTAAACTGCATAAAACCAGCAAACCCCAGCATTGACAAGCAAGTATTCAGCTTGTCAGCTGGGTGACAATGGGGACAACTTCCTGTTTAGAACAGGAATTCAGATCTACTTTTTATGTTATACTGAATAAACGCCAAGCAATCCCCTCCTGCCCTCATGATTGCATGCAGCTCTCCCTCAAGGGATGCTTCTAAAGGGCTGAGGTCTCAAGTCTTATCTACACTTTCAAGGCACAAAAACTTATTTTGTGATTTTTCAGTTCCCTTTAGCCACACATATCTGTAAGGAAGTGAAAGAAGAGAAGGAAACAGAGCTCTCTCTGCTGTAGAGAGCTGTAGCTGTATACAGGCACTGGAAAATTCTCCCACTACAATATGGGAACTCAGTTTCTGCCAAGTTCCTTACCTGCTCCTACCAGCTGGAGGGACAACTAAACTGTATTTAGAGATCAAATGGGATCTGATATGATGAGAGACTGTTGGGRGAAGGAAGGAAATCAGGAAAGACTGGGATTGAGTGAGATCATGTGGCACCATAGATGGGAGCCTTGAATCAGCAGGCCCACATTTTAGTTGGCTGCACTTCATGAGTGTTATGAAAATGCGGCTGGTGACAATCAAATGTGAGGGGACAACAGCACACCAMCCTTAGAGCCCAAAGCAGGGCATCTTGGAGGAATGAAATAGTTATCTGAGAAGAAAGGGGCAGTGAGGCATAGAGAACTGATGGAACACATTCTTACAGGAAGGGCTGGGCTCCTTGACTGCAGTGGCTCCCACTGTAAAGCCAACAAACTCAGTGGAYCTCCAGGAAAACCCATGAGAAATACCATGAAGTGCAGACACTTCATAACAGTCCTCTGCCACACACAAAAAATAGCCTTAGACTTGGAGTGATGTAAAAGCCTACACTTGTCTGCACTTGTCTTGAATGCTGACATGAGATTGAAAAGGCAGGAAAAATGCAATGGGGAAAAAGAGCCCATCTTCTACTACWGCTTTTAGGAAGTTTGGCTTCAGAKGCTCAGGATTCAGCAGCAACTCCTGGGCTCACAAGGGATTCGTCAGTCAACACCAAGAAATGGCAACAAGAGTCCACAGGAAAAGTAATTTTGAAAGCTTATATACTCTCTAAATTTGGAAGCTATTTTGATTACATCCTATTTGTTCAGCCATAAACATGTATCTCATTAAGAGATACTCCTATCATCGCAAAGTAAAAATCCAAAAGTAATCTGATTACCGTATTTTAAGAAATATGAARGACTTTAGCCTTGCTAAAAACAACTACAAACCTTTCCTGTGGAGGGTTTTYGTGTACCTTTAGAGAGGAACAAAATTTGAAACACTTTGTATATCCACAGCTACAGTTCACCTTGGGAGAACTGTTGTATAAATACCTTTTTCTCATATACGTCTTGCCAAACAATGCCAGCAAAGAATTTGTGCTGCATAATCTCCTTGGCATCATCAGGACCGCCACCTAACCTGTAGGAGGCAAAATAAGTAATTAAATGTTTGAATACACTTGTTTTTCTAATACAATTTTTATTGCATTGTGCTGAAGGAACTCTGAGTTTATATAACACATTTGGGAGCAGTTCTAGCATTTGCTACGTGTTTGRTTTTTTGTGCAAGGCCTATTTTAGGCTTCAACACAGTTCCACTAGAAGATTTAAAAACACGCTAACAAACAGAATTAGAACAAAGATCTCTCTTAGACAAAGAAAAAATGATAATAATAATAATAATCACAATTCAAAAGACCTGCCCTTTAGGAAAGATGCTGTCCTGGGGACCACAGCAGAACCTGCAAAGCAAAAGGTCTGAGCCACAGATCTTTACATTAACATRCAACTACCCCTTACAGTTTTCTGGAGCAGAGTGATGCCAGCAGTAAAACCAAATTTGATTTTGAAGTGAAAGAGAGACAAGGCTTTTTAAGGCAAACTGATTTATGCAACCTGATTTAAATTTCCATTAAAGAAAACAGTTGACAACTGCAGTGATAATATCACAGCATATGCAAATCTTTCCTCCTCCTTGGCTTCAGGAAAGCACAAAGGGTGTTTTATTGACTTGAGGTATATYAAGATAAAGCACTTTTATTCCAAAATAAAACTGTCCACACAGCTTATAGATGCAATCAGTTTAGCTGCAGTCTTGAGCTAACTGATGCTTAAATTTTGCTGTGGAGGTTAAAATGTTCTCTAAAAGACTGAACCACATCTGCAAGCAAAGGCAGGCACTGAGAAAACAAAACAGATACTGGGTAATCAGCAGGAGACTCTTTCAGGTAAAGAGGTTAAGATGACGCTCAGCATTTCAGGTATAGGAGGAGTTACCACGTTCACCCAGGCTGACCTCCAGGATCTGCCTATCCTCCCATGCCTCACTAGCAAACAGATACTGCCTGTTTCAAGAGCTTGAAGCAATGACTCTCCATGACCCAGGCTAGAGTTACACTGCTACACACATCARGGACAGACATTTCTGAGCCTGAAGCCAAGGCYTGGCCAGGCCTCATCCATTGCTGCRCAGCCTCTGGCCTTGGATTTCCTCTGGGCCACATGTGGTAACTCCATGYCCCAGTTCATGATTATCTGGGGATAGAGGGGAGGGGTTTGGTTCAAAATATCAGAGAAAATATGAAGGCTCTGCTAAAGTCCACTGAAGTGGTATTTTTACAGGTTGAGACTGCATGTCTGGAATGAAGCATGAAGGCACAATGCTACTGGGACAGCACYGGATGAAAAAGCATGGAAAAGTCAAATACTGTGATACTTTGTTCATGGTGCTCACTGGGAATGGGTCCTGATGCATCCAAACCCTTGGCCATGCCAGAGCACTATCTGGAGAGAAGGGACACTGACAGAGGCCACAGCTGCACCAGAAACACCCAGCAGCAGAGGTGCCTGACTGTCCAGAGGCTGTGCTTGCTTCCTTGCCCTCTTCCATTCAGTGCCACAGTGGCCAAAGGGGTTTGCTCCTTAACATTCCTTTAGGAAATGTGCAGTGGAACACTCCCCAGCCTGCCAGTACCTGGGTGACTCTCACCTCCCCAGGCAAGCCCTAAGTCCACCCTAGAACCCCAGGGGCCAAGCCAAGCTGGACAAGGGCTCTCCCATCTGCCTGGCAACAGTTTCTACAGCTGCAGAGCAGCCTGGAACAGAGACAAACTCCAGGGCAGCCTGGGAACAGAAACAAACTCTGTGAGTAATCATTTCTCGGCTGGTTCCCCCCAGGTCTAGTGGCTTTGCCAAGTCTCTACCAGACTCCTTGCTGCTTCCACAGCACAGATGATGCTGATGGCCAATGAAGAGGGTGGAGTCAATCCTCTCTGTCCACAGATGTCAACAGGAGCTCAGGAGCGACTCTGAGCTAAGAAGCACCTGAATGGTGTTTTGCAGAAGCRGGCAGGAAGGCTGGCTGGCTGCAGACACGTACAAGTGCTTTGCAGAATATGTTATCTAATACRAGCCTTTGTTCCATGAAGGGCAAACACATACTCAGGGAAATGCCAAGAAGGACTCCAGATGTTTTACTTACCTTTTAAAAATGACACGAATCTCATCAAAACAAATGGGGAAACAATAGAAACCTTGTATTTTGGATACAGACTTATTCCAAAAGACACTTTTGTTTTCCAGAATTATCAGGAGAGGTCCCTCTCAAGAAGAACAGAATTAAATTGCCAACTAATGCAAAAATCATGGTTAAGCACCAGTGAGAACATAAAGAGCAGCAGGTTTGTCTTTCATAAGGACAYGCAATAAATAAAAATACAGCAGAAACAAGAGCTTCGAAGAAATTCCTTTATAATAAAAGTTAAATTCTGTATATTCAAGTTTTCAGACAGAATCAAAAATAGTGTATACAGGACCTGAAAAGCAACAGCTACAGAAATTCAGAGTATACAAAGAAGTACAGCAGGAAGTGTAGAGGCCAAAAAGCAATTTAAAGAAAAACACAAGAAAACATCCCWCAAAACCTAACCACCAAACAATTCTGGTTATTCAATCAACTTCTACCTACATGTGAGAGACTTTTTTATTTTAGTGAAATCCAAGAGTGAAAATTATTAATAAAGTGCAACATCAATATTAAACTGAAACAATTTTCACATTTTAAATTTTTATGAAGCTGCATATTTCAAGTGCCTTTAACCATTTAATGACAAATGCCTGTGCTCCACAAATCGAGTGCAATCAGCCATCATTCCACAGATATATTATGTAAAAATAATTTTAAAATAACTTTTAAAATTTACTGTATTGTGTTTTTTAACATATGTATATAAATATAATGTATTAACACACAGAAAGACTGCAATTAGTGGATCATGTGAAAATAATGTATCTCTGCTTGCCCATGTAGGAGTACACAATTCTCAGCTTCGAGGTCCATTCCCAGCTCTTTAAAATGAAACCTGCACACTTTCTAGCTTTTCAGCCTTGTTTTCCCATGATTTCTCTGAGTCACCCCTGCCCCCACCAAACCTGGTTCTACAACAGCACAAACACACCCACCAGGCTGAAGAACAACAGCTCAGCAAAAGCTGTTGCTCACCAAAAGCAAAAGCTGGTGTTCACCAGCTCCAAGCACACAGATACACACATCTCTCATACAGTCAAGATGGAAACTAGTAACCTATTTTACTATGGCCCTTACCTTCAGAGGCTTCTAACAGCCACAGGGAAGGATTGGAACTCCATCCACATCAGTTTCCTGTGACTGGCACTATCAGCACAGAGAAGCTCACCCGAGCTTTGAGAACAGCATGATCTGAGGACGCCAGATTTGAAAGGAAAAGGCCACATTCTTCCCAAAGCCCTGTACACAGTCTTTGGGTGCTTTCCTGCTCAGAGATTAAAACTTTTRGAAAGCCTAATGCAGCTAACTCCCAGGTCTTTGCAGAGCTTTACTTCCCCACTTCTTCATTAACCACATGCATGTGACACAAACATGGTAGATTCAAAAAGCCCTGAAAAAGCTCCCACTTCCCAAAATTARTAATTGAGAGGAGTCACGTTTGAGGTTGGTGAAGCTTGGGAAGCCTCTAAAGTAGTAGTTTCTAGAAAGCTGGGAAAAAAAATTCTTTAAATTTGCCTTTCATGTTTTTCTCAGCTTCAATTTAGATCTCTGTGGATAAACGGAGTTTGTCTAAATCACTGTGGACAGACTGATTTACACTAAAATTATCATACACAACAGATAAATCTCAGTCTGTCTCAAAGTACCTGATGAAACACGAATTTTTGAGTATTTTGCAGTTCAGCTGATTTTGCAGGACACTGGAACTGACGGGAGACAGACACACTTTTGAACTTAAGGCACACAGTTTGGAGCAAACACAAGTCACCTCTCATGTGGATCCAAAACTCTGCATGTCCACAATGCATCCAAATGTGCTGTCCAAGAGGACCAGTAATTCAAGGTTACCTCCTCCTGCTGGATACCAGAGCTAGCTGGGACCACCTCCAGGCCCCTGAAGTCCCCACGAGTGTCACCTCTAACTCCTTGAATGCCAGCAGTGTCTGTGAAAGCTGCAGACCTCCCTGTGTCTGACAGCAAGGGTGCTTAAGTGCAAATCTCCTCCTTTCATAAGKAAAGAAACTAAGGAGTTGGTTTCATACAAATAATGGCTTGATTGACTCTGATATTTCTAAACATCTGCAGCCAAAGTTGCATTCTGGATGTGGAAAGAACCACCATCACTAGAGAAGAATGATRTACCAGATCTTTGTGTGGCTGTAARAACTGACCACYAGGTCCAAGGGTGCACCTTCAGCTCTCCAGAACCACAACCWCAACTCTTTGAAGTCATGAGATCTTTGAACAGGTGTTTGTGAAATGCTGCATCACCTTCCTCTCATTCTTGCTGAATGGCAAGGTCCAACAGCACCACACAGGCAGGTGAGGCAGCCTGTGACAAACCCCATCTGAGACAGGCTGAACAACCCTGACCTATGACAGGGACTAAGGCACGTAGTCAAATCTGACCATCAAAATTCAGATTAAACCATCCTRAAGTTCTCTCAAGTTAAAAACCTACCAAGATTCAGATCTTGCAAGACACCAATTACAAATCCACCCACCCATCTAAACTCAGACCATTCACATGGAATGCCCTGATCCATGCCCACTTTCACAGGCTGCAGTATCCACAGGCAAAGAAAAAACAATAAAAGGTAAAAGCTTTTTTATGTGCAAAAAAATGCTCTGATTACCTCCTTTCACTTGATCCATGTCACAAAGCAGCAAAGGGGAATTTCAGGTCACATTAACAGGAAATATTTACAGAACAGATTTTTTCCTTCTTAGGAAAATTAGGACTCACATTACAAGATTAATAAACTTCTATCAATCCCAAAAGAAACTTCAAAATTCCTTTTCTCTTACAAAATGGATTTCATATGACCAAATTTAGAAAACAGTCATGATTAAAAGCAGAATGCAATTTATTGTTCTCCACATTTTCTCCATATGCCTGGGAGTTTGAGACTGAACTGGCATTACAGAACGCAGAATGCTAACATTGCTTCTATATATCCAGCTCAGCTACAACAGGTCATTTTTAAGGTTTAATTCACTGACACAGATCACAGTTCCCTAGCTCCTTGATATTTAACTTAAACTAYCTTTGGCACTATGCTTAGTTTTATCAACCTTTATTGTTGGGTTGGCTGGGGTTTTTTTTGTGATTTTAAGGGAAGTGACAACATCTCCCAGTTTCCTTCTTCTCATGGTTTTGGCCGCCTCCTCCATCTCACTCTAAAGTTCATCCACAGTTRTGCTGCCAATTCTGATGCTTTCTGCCACAAACATTACAATTACACCAACTTCTGTCCATCGCTGGGCTTTATGGAAGAGAGGATTTCTGCTGAATTACACAGTGGCTCCCCAGAGCACCAGACTATCACGCATTATTTAACTTTTCAGTAAATATATTTCAGTAGCTCTCTGGCTGGTTTCTGTCCATATGGCTCCATGATTCAACTACCAAGTATGCCAGGAGCCCACCCCAGCACCCAGACCACCCAGAAAAAAAMCCCATAACACTACAAGGGCAGGATGCAGGACTTCTACCTCTTAGTGCTTCCACATCAGGTCTCCATGCTGCCTGAAATGCCACAAAGCACAGCAAATTTGCCAAACTACAACTTCAGCTAAAAAGTTGTGTGAACTGTGACTGGGGAGAAACCAATATTGGTTCATGATCCAAAAAGCTTGGGAAGCACCAGTGTAATTAGGCATAATTACAATAAGGCATGTGTGCAGGCTTGTCTAGTCAAYAGTTATTGCTATCAGCAGCATGAAAATCATCTGTCCACCAGWGCAGCCCTGCTTCCAAGCCCACAGAAGATACACATGAAGAAATGGCTATTTGTATACAGTGAGCATATTGTGGAGTAATTATTGGCATTGGGAAGATCTTGTAATTAGAACCGAGTGGGTGTTCTTTGTTTGTAAACAAATTGCATTTTGGTTCATCAGAGATGCTCCTTTAAGAACAAACTGGAGCAGATGCTGCTTGTGTTGCCAGTGATTGAAAGGCCCCACCTGAATAAGCTACGAAAGGGTCACAATTGCATTTAACCCAGCGCTTTCCTGGACAGGAATGCTGCTGGCTGGGGCTGCAGCCAGGCTCRCAGAGCACAGAGCCTGGGGGCTGCTCATCAATTACAAAACCTTCTCCTGGAGGTCCCCTCGCAGGCGCCGCGTTCGGGAGGGGGTGCAGCTGTTGCCACCTTGTACAGGGCTGGCCATGTTCCTGGCTGCAGCCATGTCCTGCTCCCCACGTCGCCACCAAGATGAATTCTACAATACTGTAAACTGTGCATTTGCATCACGAGACCTCCCAACAGGATTTTCCATCAAAAGCAGTGATGGAAATAGCCTACAGTGATGACAGAAATCCTTGCTACAAGTATCCAGGCACTGGCAAACCCCATTTTCCTGCTATGTGCACACACATGCACGGAGACTAAACAAACATCAGAAAGCAAATCAGAATTCTCTGCTTGCACCTCACATGAAAGGTTTCCTGTTTGGGGCCCATTAACAGTGGATAGTTCAGGACAGGAGTGCAGGGGCAGAGTCACAATATTATTTGTTTTAAAAATGTYTGGGTTGACAAGATGGCAGGTTTTTAAACTGATGTTTATCTTTGTGTGAAGGTCAACATCCTCTTTGGATCTTGTTCTATTTTCTGTTTGTTAGCCCATAAGGGCTTGGGTTTTTTTTTTGTTTTGTTTCTTCTGTTTTTAAATCAAGGCTTGTTTTTTAAATAATAAAGCAATAAAAGAAAAACAAAAACAAAAGATGAAACAGGAAAAGTCGATTGAGCACGGTTTAAACTTTGCCACAAACATGGTACAAACACCACCACCTACTGTCCAAAGCTCACACAGATGAGAYGTTAAATCACTGGCAGAGATTTAGACAAAAACTCAGGAAATGGACAGCAGTCTCAACTGGGACAGAAGGCGAAAGCATTGGGTGTAGAGCATCCTGTAACTCACAGCAGCCACTGGATRGCAAAGGCAGGGTTAACTTGCTTTTTCCCAGGCTATAGTTTTGCTTTAATGGCAGCCATCATACTCTGAAGCTTGGCACCAAAGATGCTTCATGTTGCTATTTACACTGTCAGCTCATCCAAAAAAGTTAAAAACAAACTATTAGATCCACTTGCTGCATTGTATTGGATAATCATTTTGAACAGATTAAAAATTAAATTACAATTATGTCACAAATACCTTTTAAAAAGTGCAACTATTAAGCAGCAGCCTCACCTTTGCTTAGGATCTTTCTTCAGCAAACCCGACAAGAGAGATTTTGCTTCAGGTGACAATGTGCGTGGAAATCTGATCTCCTCCATAAGGATGAGTTCAAAAAGCTTTTCATGGTCCTGATTGTAGAAAGGGAGCCGGCCACACATCATTTCATACATCACAACTCCCAAACCCCACCAGTCCACTGCACGGCCGTAGTCATTATCCTCCAGAACCTGTAGAATATAAGGAAAAGGCTTTAGAAGACACTCCCAAACCAGGCATGAACACACAACTCAAGAAGCAAAATTTACCCCGCAAGTCCATCTTCCACAACACAGCCAGATCTACCAGCAGACTATTTGCAGAACCATGAGAAAAGAACTGGCAACCATGCTCACCATCAGGTGAGCAGAAGGGAAAAAGGAGACAGCAGGTATGTGACAGCAGCCTCCCTGCCTTCCTTCTCCCACCCTCCCTCGCATTATGGGCATGATAAGCAAACCTTTGAAAGTCCAAAGGCCAAGAACTGTTCTCACATTACAGAGCCAGCTGTTAAACTCTCACTTAGTCACCCCAAACTGCTCCAAATGGGATCCAAGCTTTTAGAAAAACCCACCCACCAAGGAGCTAATACAGGGAGAAAAGACCATCAACCTGTTCTTTCACAAGTGAAAAGCCAAACACATTCATGATCTTCCTATCAACCTGCACCCCCAAAGGGGTGGCTCTGCACATCCTAAAAAACCACCCACAAATACTCAATGACTAATCTACATTAAACACTAAGAGCCAGAACACCACTCCTAACATTTGACCGGCTCTAAGACTGTAAAACAGCAGCCAAATTGTCTGGAAATGTTTCCCCTCTAACCCTCTGCCCTGCTCGAAAGGCACTCCTGCCTCTGCTTAGAGGGCTGCAAGCACAGGAACTGTCAGTGGRGTGGATTTCTGCCAGGTCTCACAGCAAAAGGAGCCCAGCACAGTTCATTCTTCCCTTCCCCACTGCACTTCTGTCTAACAAAGCAGTGGCTGGGGCAGGGACTTGGGTCCCCAGCAGCACTCTCCACCTCTCCTGCTCTCTCCAGAGAAGCCCTGCCACAGTGCATTTCTGATCTTCTGCACAATGGGCTGCTGAAGGGAGTGGGGAGAGTTTTGTGGCTTGTGCAGTGGATGCTACCAGGACTTCTCTAGACTTTGTGTCTCCTATGCAGTTGTCTGTAGCTGACACCAACAGTCTCATGTTCCAGACCCTGTCCTCAGGTTTTAGTTGTCATCTGTACTGCATGGGTTTGCACTGAGCTGATTACTCTCGCTAAGAGCACAAACCACAACTGCACCACCAKGGTGTTTTCTTGCTGCACCGTGTCTGTGTGAGCTTTACATTCCTGTGATTCAGAATACTTCACACTCAAAATTAAAAAGGTGAAAGAGCCAAAGTCGGTGCAAGTCTAACAAAAACAAGATCTTAAGCTCTTACAAATCTCGCTATAAAGGTTTTGCACATAGAAAAGAAGCATCGAGGCACTTCACGTAACAACTGTTTGCACTCTGCCTCTCTTTATTCACTAATTATTCCCCTTAATTATCTGAACGAGGGAGAGGGCCTGCAGTAAAAATCAAAAGGCTGCCAGGTATTAGATTACCCCACGTCGGTCTATTTCCAGCATCCCCGGCCGTGTGATTCACACCAAACGACAGCTGGCTGTGCAGCTGCCCCCTCCATGTACACGGGCGACACAGCTGCCGGCCGGACTGGATTCCAGGAGCCTTCCCCAGGCATCGGCTCGGCAGAGATTGTGTGACAATGCAGCTACCGCTCTCTGAGTCACCCCGCTCAACCAGCGCTTCCTGTTCGCACTCCCCTACGCTTGGCTTACCTAAAATAAAGCACTCACACGGCCTCCAATTTGTATTTTTATTTTTTAAACTGCTGCAAGAGATGCAAAAGGAGAGACTGAAAGAAAAAGAAAACCACAGAGGCCTTTGTTGCGCACATAGTTAATGCTACAGTGCTTTTGAMATGCACTGAACACTTCAAATGTTACTTTAGAAAGTGTGTTATTACTCTCTGTAAAAGCTACATTATTAACTACAACACTTTCCTTCACCTCCACTTATTTTTAAACAGAATATAAAATGCTTCTTTCTTCAAAGTTCTTTAGCACAATAAGCATACCCTCATATTAGTGACTGCATAAAAGAGACCAATGCCATATCAAAAATACACCGTAAAAAAAAATATATTGCACTCATCCATGATTTTCTGCAATACACTGGATAGCTGGGGAGCAGTAAAGTAACAAGGTCATTTCACTTAAATTAASGGATCATAATTTCCTAATGACTAGTTCTAGACTGTTGTGAGATGGAATTTGAAAGAGAAGGCAGAACAGCTGTAAACATCACAGCCATTGATGCATCTGACACATCAAAGTTGACATGGTTCAGTCACTGTCATCCATGCATGAGATTCCAGTATGAACCTAAAAACAACGATGCAACAACTGCACAGACACGCTGCTGGGCTGGACTCGAGTTACCAATGCAAACAGGAGCATCGACACCCCTGCTTTTAAGGATGTATGACCTTAAACACATGGAATATTGCTCRCACACAATTTCCAGATTTTTTGCATGCTATCAACCAGATGACAAAAGCTTCCAGAATTTAACACTCCAACTCACAGATGGGATTTGCAAGYAAGGGAGAGAACTGAGTTAATCAAAAGGATTTGTCCTTCAGGGTTTTTGGWTGAGCCAATTCATCATAAATATTAAAACAAAAAAATAATAGTAAATAATATAACAAAAAGAACAACACAGTGCCTGCACAGGGAATCCCCACATTCCAAGTCAGGAAAAACAAAAAYAATAAATATTTTTAGCCTCCTCATAAAATCCTTGATGAGAAACTGAAGTTGAGCAATTGATTTTAAGAGGCAAGCTAAAATAAAAGCCATGCTTATGAATAATAAACACTCCGTCATGCTGCTAATTACTCTCTGCATCAGTAAATCTCAAATTGTGGTGCATGGACCCCAATTTAGATTCACTGAAGACTTCTGGTGATCCATGGAAAAGCTGGCAGTCATCATGAGACTGGCTCCACCTCTTTGCTGCAAGCTACTTCGACAGGTGCCCATGTTCTTCATTATTACAAAAGACTGGAGGCCCTTGAAAGCAGCTGGGAGTTAAAAAAAAACAACAAAAACCAAACAAAACCCAAGAGCACTCTGCCACTGCTATGCAAGCGGGGAGCACAAAAGCACTGATCAGCAAAGCCATCAGCTCTCAGCAGAAATATTCTTCCTTCATGCTGGTTTCCCATACTTTGTACTTCTGCATAGYTCAGTTCAAGACAGGTTTGCAATGCTCAAGTCTCCCAACTCAGAGGAAATCCGAGCCAACAATCTATAACCCACCAGCAGCCCAAGACTCGCTTGGGATGGAAATCTACACTCCACAGGAAGCAAAGCCCCACGGCAAGGGAAGCAGCCCCTGTGCAAGGCACACCACGTTAGCTCAGGCTCTCTGCCCTGCTAATCCAGGAGCCCCTTTCCAGACAGCTCGGACATGGGCAGAGAAACGTCTGCCTGTGGAACACCCAGTGYATGTGCATCCCCTACAATCTAAATTCACTTCTGATCTGCCCCTAACTCACTCCCAGCTGTAACATCACCTCTGTTGCACAACTCAAGATTGTTCCCAGGAGCAAAGCTGAAAATGCGCACTTGCATTTTGCACTTGAAAAGGAAAAAAAAAAATTGCACAAAAACCAATCCCCAAACATACTGTTTGGGGACTGAGATCCCCTGCCTGGATTTATGTCCTACAAACTCAGASAGTTCAAATCAACACTGAGAAATATCTTTTGCTTTTATAGTCATAAAACAGTCAGCACTTTKAAGGCAGACCATGCTAAATACTGCAGAAAAATCTTGGGTCTGTCCTTTTTCTGAAAACATGTCACCTTATACTGTCCTCAAATAGTAAAAGAATTGGACAATACTATTACTTCTTAAGTGAAGTCCTACTGATAGCTTCCAAATAGGACAACACACAGCAAGCTGCAAAACAAGTAATCTATCATGTAATATTGGAAGTGATTAAAGTGTGTTTTTTTTAAAAACTATGTATTTGATACAAGAAAAAAGCACTGTTCCAGTAAAATGTAGAGATTCCCTCAAGTGGAAGACGCTACCCCGCCAAAAAATTATCACATATCATTATGCTAAAGATATGTTCCAGATCATGATGAATAAAGGAGTCTCAGTATRTATAATTACATAACAGCAGTTAGTGCATGAGCACATCATGGCACAGAAATTACTCTGTACTCCTACTGCTACCACGGAAGGCACGTAAGAGGCAATTTAACACAACAGCCAACATAAACATACCTCTGGTGCAAGATACTCTGGAGTGCCACAGAAAGTCTTCATCGTTGCTCCATCCTTGATGCCTTCTTTACATAGTCCAAAGTCTGTTATTTTTATGTGTCCATCTTTATCCAGCATAAGATTTTCCAGCTGGGAAGAAAAGCCAAATTAAGAGACATGATTATCCATAACATACACTGGTCCTGAGCAGGACAATCAAAGACATGAATTTTTGCAGATCAGTTTTCAACCTCATTCTCACTGGGATCAGACCCACAGCAGCTGCCAGAGCATGTAAAAGGTAAATATACATTTGTAACATTTTCCTCAGTTCTTCAGGGAACATTAAGTAACTAATTTGTAGTCTTGGGGTAACCAACCATATAAACAGAAAGAACACAGAACATAAACATTRTATTTATGCTTCTACAATATCATCATCAATAGAACAACAGTCCTTTTTGAAAATATATTAAGCATTCCCCCTCAGACAACTTCATTCCTGCTTTTACTCTGATTTTATGAAATAATCTGATATCAGTAAGTAATAGTAAATAAAACCGAAATCATATGCAAGACTAAGGAACCACTTCCAAAGAGACCCTTTGAATGAGAATCCCTGTACTCATTTACTCAGCACATGGTATTCATCCTACCCTGAGACTCTAATTTTTGAGAAAGTCACCCAGGTATCAGAACAGTTTCCAACTGTGTATGAATAAAATGCACTTACAGAGGTGCATATGGGAGACAAAATCCTAACAGAAATTTCACGTTGACATAGGCCGAAAACATTACACAGCATGCTTCATTTTAGACTGCCCCTAAATAAACTAMCAGGATCCCTTCAGCCTGTCCTGAAAACTCTTCTCAGGAAAGAAGAAAATGCTATTTTGGTCAGGAATTTCTCAAGTTCATTTACCCTGAGATATGCTGTTTGGTTGTGAGATTTTTTCCCCTTCTGTGTTCCCCAAATAAATGAGTAATTTCAGGCTTAGGCAATTTTCTAACTGCAAGCAGGTACAACGAAGAGGATGTGAGCATACTGCAAGGAAGCCCAACATCCACGCAAGGTGAATTTGCATCTCTCCAAKAAGACCAGGATTATGTTCCACCATGCAAAAGCACCAGCAAGGTTTGTCTGAGAACATAAGCAGGCAAGTAAAACTGAAACCCCTGTAGCCCAGTAACTCTTCATGTTCTCTGAAATGTTGCCAGAGTCACAATAAATGCCTTATGCAGCCTCTTGGACTATCAAAGGGTTTAGACATCCTGTAAAGTCCAGCCCAACAGCTGCAACAACAGTTTGGATAAAGTTCAATCAGGAAAGGATTCCTTAATAGTTCAGGATCATTTGCTTTTCAAACAACAAAAAGCCAAACCCCAAAAGCCTGTAAAATGATTTTTCTACATACCTTCAAATCTCTATAAACCACATTCTTCTCTGAATGCAGGTAATCCAGTGCTGAAACAATCTCAGCTCCATAAAACCGAGCTCGGTCTTCAGAGAAGACACGTTCTCTTGACAGATGGAAAAACAACTACAAAAACAATATTTTGTTAACTTCAGATGTTTCTGAATTATGTCTTACACTTCACAGGCCATCCTGCTTGGAAGATGCTATTACCTAAGAAAAACCCCCTTCCCATCCTCACCCAGTTGTGTTCCCAAATGTGTTGAAAAGCATCATAAATTAAATTATTAGGTAATTTTATTGCCTAATATTCATATTCTCATATTCACAGATGCACACTGATAACCAGTTCATGTATTGAAGTCTTATAAATTCAGAAAATTATAATTCTTTTTGACTGAACTACAATTACATACTAAAACTGCACTTTAATGCATGATTTAGAGAAATGTTAATATTCCAACCTTTTCCTCTTGACTGTAATAGYAGTTAGCAGTGTATAGTTCTTCCTCCAAGTACACTCACAATATTAATTTAAAAGTGTTAAAGCTTGTCTGAAGAGCAACTAGAAAGCAACCTTGCTTTCTTGAACTTCTAAATGTCAGATTACAACACATTGCTGYCATGTAAAATATGAACCTTCGCCCAAAATCTCTATGTTCTTAAAATGGAATTGAAAAAAATTTAGAGTCTTACTTCTTAATATTAGTTAAACCTGCAAACAGCTCTGTTTAACTCGGATTAATTAGAATTGCAAAAATGGACCTTAGCTTAATAATGTCAAGCAGAATTAGCAGTAGTACAGGAAAATCCTAAAGTATTAAACATTATTGTATTTCCCTTACCTCCCCTCCATTAGCATACTCCATAACAAAACATAAGCGATCATGTGTCTGAAAGGAATACTTTAAAGCCTGAAACAGATTTAAACCAAAACTTAGAAGACAGATCATAGTGACAGTTTGAAAAGCATTTTTAATAGATTTTTCAGAAGCAGACATGAAATTTTCTATTTTAGTGAACTTTTGTCCTTAAATCTTACATAATACTTATACTTTCCTGTTGCAGCTGAGGACTGATTCACTGCCAACTTATTTCATTAAACAAATCTTTTGCAGAAGCTATCATCACCTAAAATGCTGTGAAATGAAGTCTTGGCCCATTAACAGTGACTCAAAGTGTACCAGCARTGCCTGAAGTTCCCTCCTCAGGCCACAGGTTCAACTCACAGATAAGAGGCCACAACCAAACCCTGGAGCACAAGGTTTCACCACACKGGCTACAAGACCTCTTCTATGAAACATTTGTATTTTCACACACCAGCCCCCTGATCTCTGCCCTGCTGCCTGCAACTGCTCCCTGCTGACAGTCTGCCAGGGGACTGAGCAACACTGCCAATACCAATTTGTGAGGAACTCACAAAAACAGACCGGATGGAGGGTGTGATGGAGCATCACAAGGTGCCTGTGTATAGTCCTGTCACATGCATTCCCGTGGTRAGAGTAACATCAATTTGTTTGCCATAGGATTGAGATTTTTTCATTATAACCCATGGAATCACAGAATATGCTGAGTTGGAAGGGACCCACAAGGTATTGTGGATCATCAAGTCCAACTCCTGGCCCTGCAAAGGACCACCCCAAGAATCCAACCACAGGCCTCAGAGTGTTATCCAAATTCTTCCTGAACTCTGCCAGGCTTGGTGCTGTTACCACTTCCCTGGGGAGCTGTTCCAGTGCCCAACCACTCTCTGGGTAAGAAGCTTTTCCCAGTATCCAAGCTAAACTCAGGCTTGTAGATAATTTCTCAGGACAGCTCTTGTTCTGGACATTTGAGTTTATAAAAGCATTAAAAAGAAAATACTGCGTATGATACTGCTGTCTTCATTACAGGGGGTGACGTTTTTAAACCAGTCATATTTTTGCAGAAGAAGGAAGGACCAGGTTTTAGACATGTCAACATTATTGATTATASTCAATACAGGCAATATTTACTTCCAAAGGTCATGCTTAAAAGGCCTGAATTCCAGAAAAGCCCTTGTACCTGGCCAAAGGAAATAACCAGGATCCTACACAGYCTCTCAGAAGCTTTAAGCAGTTGTAAACAATTCTGAGACAATTTGTAATAAATATCAGAAACAAACTCTCCAGATGGAACTTGTTTATCTGAACTCAGCCCAGAGGGACTGCTGTCACTGGAGGTCTAAAATGAGGGTATGGTTTGACTTTACAATCCATAAGAAAAGCAGCAGATAAAGCACAGTCCTGCTCTCCCCTGCCCCACTCCACATGCTCCCACCACTATCATTTGGCTGGCATTACCAGGGTCTTGATTCCAGAGTGATCTGTTTCTAGGAACTTAAAAAAACAACAAAGACAAAATTAAGAGTTTGCCCCCACTGTATCTTCCTGAATTTGTTTGTCACAAGACCAGGGTCACCCTGATCTCTGCTGCTAAGAGGAGACCAAACATTTCAAGGACAAGTAGAAACTTCTCTCAGAGATAGCAAGTCATTAAATGGGTGAGCCCTAAAGTCAAACCACACCCTGAAACACTGCCTTTAGAGGTGCTTAGGACCTGCTCCACAAGAATCAAAAAACTTTAGTGAGTATTTTGTATATCCAAAAATGGAAGGGTACAAAAATACACAGCCACTCTGAAAACACAGATCTCAGATGCATTATATAAGTAACACAAAACAGGAAAAGCCTTGGTGATTGTGATGTCAAATTACACTGAGCAGAGGCAGAAATGCTTACTGTTAGGAACGGGTGCCGAGAGTTCTGTAAAACCCGGTTTTCTGTCAGCGTGTGCGCTACTTCATCCTGAAACACAAGCAGAAGGAAATCAGCAAAGTGATTCCCCAGACCAGGGGTCCATTTCAAACACTAACAGAGCAATTRTTTACAAGTAGTCTGAGAATGCTTCCTATGACTTTGCCAAAGGCTGTATCAAGGGTGAACCACATGCCCAAGTTTCCCATCTACTCACCTTTGCTACAATAACTTCCTTCTTCAGAATTTTCATAGCATAATACCGTCCAGTTGCTTTTTCTTTCACTAAAATGACCTTTCCAAAAGTGCCTTTTCCCAGTAGTTTCAGGTATTCAAACTCATTCATGGTCTGTTAATGAWACAGATAAAGAAGAACTGAATAACATGATCTAACAAGAAGTATATTATTCTCAGACCAGAATTTCTCATTCACGTGAGAATGCATGGCATATGTCGCACATATGTTTTTTTTAATCCTTTTGTKTAGTAGAATTCAGGAGCAGAAATGATTCTTCAACAAAAATGAATGCCAGTGCACTCCCAAAGATAATCAATCACACTATTTACAGAAAATCACAAGCTTTCAATTAACTGAAYGCTCTTTTGCATGACTCAACACTCAACTGTGCAAGTAACACTCAACATATTACTATTAATCCATAGACATTCTGACCTCTATGTCACTGCAGACATTCATTAAAAGGCACATGTTGCTCTGCTTCCAGGGATTAAACCCACACCTTTTTTCTGATGTTCCCCACCTCTCTAGAACAGCTATCTTGTGCTTCATTGAACAGCACCAAAAACCAAAGACAAAATGACTGCCTGTAAGACCTCTATCTACTCACTTGATGGGACTTTTGAAGTGTACTACAACATCCAATCAACATAAAATGCTTCTCACAGCATTAAACTGGATCATTCAAATTAGCAAACTTTAAACTCATTTGATGGTAAATTACTCAAAATACTCTAGCAAGAGGGAAATTGAAGAAAGAGAGACAGAAAAGATACAGAAAAGCACACATAAGCTATCAGCTCCCGGGCTCAGGCTGTGTTCAGACAGAAACTCCAAGAAAAGCTAGGGTCCAGACAAAGTGATGGKCTTGTGTTCAACCTTAAATACCCCTTGACCTTCATGGGCCTTTCCCCCAGGTGGGACTTGTGGTCATTTGGCCACTCAGGAGCTGRGTTAGGGGAGAATGGAGCACTAGAGAATGCCTCTGGTGTGCCAGTGAYTGGCAGCTCTGTCAAGCTGGGATACAGGCTCTAGAGGGGTGTGGGGCAGCTCATTGTCTCACCAGGGCAAGGCCTGACCTGCCCTTCCCCCACACACATGCACCCCAAAATGTCTCCAGAYATCAMATMTTTCCAGTCTCTGTCAGCCACGCCATGGCTCAAGACAGGATCACAGTAATGGCACCTTTCCTCTGTGGTCTAATCTAGCAAAGCAGAAAGAGAAGAAGAGGAAAGTACACTGGAACTCATAAAGGGCAATTGCTATTGCAATAATCAAAGCATAAGTCAATATCCTCCAGTGCTCCCCACTCCTTGCGTCTCTAGGACTGCAGGCAAGGTACAATGCAAATCAGGATCCAGGGGAAGAGTTCATGAACCAGTCTTTCAGTTGCAGCGCTTGAAGCGTCCTAAAGTTTSGTCTGTGATTTCCTGTGTGCTCCTTGAGACAGGTCTCCTCTTTTGTGAGGTTTGGCATTTTTGAACATTAGACAATTTTATGCAACCATTTTTGATACTTGTTGGACCTGTAAGCTGGGCTCCAAAATATTTTGGGAAGTTCATTTTAGGATTCTCTATGACTTAATGGTAGTGCAGTACATTGCACCCTTTGTCAAACTCTGTAGGGATCAAGAGTTAGGCTGCTTTGCCTTTTGGAGTCAATTATCTTACAAGTCCAGGTATCAGCAAACTTAAGCAAATAAACATGTCTCAATTTGCCACCCTTATCCCTCCCACCAAGCAGGTTTCAGGGGGATTACCAGAACCTGTACCCATGGAAAGAGGAAGAGATCAGTGGGCACCATGGGAAACAACACTCAGTAAAATTCTACTACCTAGCAGTCTGAATTACCCCAGGGGTGGGGTCAAATATGTAACAACACTCAGTCATTCCTCAGCATATAATTTTAGTTAGGGTYCTGAGTTTGGACCAAATACTTTCCAACTTTACCAAACCCTTCAGAAGTTCTCAACCCCCTTTTTTCTCTTAATCATTCATGACTTCTTCATTTACAGCTGGAACTTTCCAGCTGCCACTTCAGCTCCATGGTCAGCCCCTTTTCTCCTTCCTTCCATGACCACCAACACTTCAATATCCCCTTCTTCTGCACAATCATGCTTTACACATTRCTTGCTGTTACTACACATGCTTCAATATAGTAATCTTATACTCTGCACTGAGGAAATAGGAAGAGGTACACAAATTTGTTTCCATCACCACACGAAAGCCTGTGTGAGAGCTCCCAAAACTAAACTGGAGGGAGGAATTTTTTTCCATTCATTGTGGCAACCAGAGAGAAAACAGGAACATCTCAGCGTATTGCAGGCAACAAACTTACATAAACACATATGAACAAAAGTATCTTAAAACTTTTTAAGATAAAAACATGTAAACACTTGATGCAGMAAAGGACAGCAACTCCTCTGTCTGATCACCACTTCATCCTCTCATGGAATACTTCTAGAAGGAGAACAATCRGCCCCATTAGGACCTACTTCAAAAAGAGGAACCATGCACTTGGCAATCTTTGGTGTTCTCTGCTACAGAAAGTTTCATTGAATAATTAACAGTCTGTGAAAATAAACTTAATAAGGCATCAAAAATGCAGCAATCACCAATGAAACTTCTGTTACCTAGTACCTTAGCAATACTGATGAGCATTCTTAGCACCCTGTAGGCAGACTTAAGTTAGAGTAGCCAACCATCCTTTCGAGACCTTTTCACTTTAGACAAAATGGTTTTTGTTGGATCCACACATTTGGATCCAAACAATACATCAATTTTGCAAATTTGGACTCCAGTCCCTAAGCCAACCAATGATGGATATATCCATGTGTGTGATGTTAGACTGGACACTGCTCTCTTTTCTTTCTTGCTCACTTACTCCTTTGAAACCACACTTGCTACTATAATCACCAGGTACAAGGTCCTGCTATGATGGTTGACTAATCCAAAAGCAAATAACTGTGCTAGCATACTGGGGACACTGTCCTGAAAATACAAGAAGATAAACCATTCACTGTATTTAATTTTAGAATTCAGCTATTTTTGTTGAAGCTTTATCTYCAGTGGATTTACTGTTTATTACGTTGTCCAATGTGGTCCCTCTGTTTTCCTCTTTCTCCAGAGTTGACTTTATTCACATAATTTAGATGTCTCCAGCTGTGAATCTCACAGCTGTGTGTATAGGCAAAATCCTTTCCACTTCTGCTTAAGCAGCTATTTATTCCACTTCTGGACCTACACCCAATCTTCTGGCTGGTGAGGATATACTTGAACATTCAAAGTTACTACCAAGACTAAAACAACAAACTTGCACAATGATACAAGTATTTTTCCCCAAGAGGTTACAGATTCTGCAGCAGTTCTGCCTCTGTCCTCTAGTGGCAGGCATGGCTCAATACCCACTGCTGCCAAGAGGAGGCAATGCAGGAGGAGCTCCAAAGCTTCACTGTAAATACAGGGAAACCGAATTTCCATTTATTTCTAATGAATTTTTTTGGATATTTGAATTCGTGACTCTCTTCCAACTCACTTTTTGGAGGTGGCACAGAGAATTTGTTGCCTCAGTCTTGATCCTTAAATTTTGCAATAAATAATGGTAACATGGGAGAAGGCCATGGCAAGACAGGGCACCAGCTGTTTCTTGTGCATTGGTTGGAAGGTYGCTGCCTCCCACACTCTCCCAGTGATTTTACCACATGCTGGAGTGGGGACAGGGATGAGTTCCTCCTCCTCCAACAAGGGGCGGACTATTAACTTAAAGTTTTCACACAACAGGTTGCTCCCTCCTCAGAAAGCTTTATTTTACTCCCCAGTAGTAAAATTTTCAAAATATTCTTTTTTATTTTCTTTGGGATGATTGCTAATTTTCCCTTGCAATTTAACTAATTATGTTGCAGAGTGATATCACCACCATCAGCTCTACCTCTTGATTGCAGGGCCTGGGGTGGGGGGCAGAGGGGGTTGGCTTTGCCGAGTCAAACCCCTCCTCCAAGGAGTGGAAAGAGGTGACATCAGTGACATCATRTTCAGGGAGTCCCACCTCCTCTTTTATTTTTTTACAGATGGGCCGAGTTTAGGGTTCGGGGAGGTTTGGCTTTGTTGCATCAAACTCCTCCCAAAGAGCTGGGGGAGGGTGACATCACATTCAGGGAGGTTCAACTCCTCCCCCAGGCTGAAAGACACAGTTCATCCTCCACATCTCCCTCAACGGTGTTAATTTGCAACTCCAAAGCTCTTTGGCTCTGCACAAAGTTGTTTAACAGGTTTCTCAGGTTCGGGGCAAGTTGCTTTTGGGCTGTTAATTCTYACTACGTCCTGAGGCGAGCTATTGTTTCAGCCTCCAAGGCAATTTGCAACTTCATCAGCTCTTTCTCTGGCTCTTCCAACATGTGCTTCTTTATCTTTCTGGGCAGCCATAAAAGATTACGAAGTGGACCCCTTACCAGCCTTCTTTCTCCCTTCTTTAGCCAAAGCTCTAATATTCTCAGCAAGTACCTGGAGTTTTTTGCCAGTTTTTCTCACACCAAATCTCTCTGTGATCAAGCTTTATAAAGTTCCAACAACTCTACAAGTGGAGAGCAAATACAGGTTAGGCTTCTATATCTGGGATTCCACAACCTTTTTGCCAGAGAACATCAGAATAGTATCTTCTCCTTCTTATTATCTCTATTCCGAGTTGGATGCGCGGGAGAAATGCTGACCAGATATTCTCATGAGGTCAAAACAACATAAGAAGTTTACTGGCAAACTTTAGAAAAATCAGACAACTTTGGCAGAAGGTTTACTACAGCATCCAATCAACATAAAAGGCTTTCCCAGCATTAACCTGGACCATTCAGCTTAGCAAACTTTAAACTCATTTGATGGTAAGTAACTCAAAATACTCCAACAAGAGGGGAATAGAAGAAAGAGAGACAGAAAAGATATAGAAAAGCACACATACAGCTACCAGCTCCTGGGTTCCAGCCGTGTTCAGACAAAAATGCCAAGGGCTAGGATCCAGACAAAGTGATGGGCTTGTGTTCAGCCTTAAAATACCCCTTGACCTTCATAGGCCTTTTCCCCTGGTGAGACTTGTGGTCATTTGGGCGCTCAGGAGCTGGGTTAGTGGAGAATGGAGCCCTGCCTCTGGTGTGCCAGTGATTGGCAGCTCTGCCAAGCTGGGATACAGGCTCTAGAGGGGTGTGGGGCACTTCACTGCTTCACCAGGGCAAGGCCTGACCTGCCCTTCCCCCACATATGTGCACCCCAAAATGTCTCCAGAYATCAAATCTTTCCAGKCTCTGACARTGCCTCACAGATCAGCCATTCRCTCTTATTTGTTTCACCATGTGGAAAAGCATTGTAGGAATCACAATGTGCTGGAGGCTGAGCAGAGACTCTACCATCAGATCAATGACCACTAAGACACAACCAAAGGCTGTTGCTGCCTTGATTGGGTAAACATTTTAAGATGCCCCCAACAGCAAACTTTTCTATATTCTTCCCTAGAACTGGCTGAGGAGATTTTCTACTAAATTGCTCAAAACAGTTGATGACAGGACCCCAGTAATCATTCTGGTTATCCTCACTAACATGTCCAGGAAGAGGAAGTCACTGTTTCAGAAGAATGTGTCCATTTGATGAATGAGGTGGCTCTTGCATTTCTAGGAAGGACTGCTCAGCAAGAGCAGGATCTGTTCTGCTAAAGACCCAGAAGCTACTGGCAGCTCTGACTCAGAGTGACATGAACGCACCCACCCACATCACCCTGAAAGCACTGACATGACACAAGGGTAACACACAAGCTCAGTGAAGACACTTGTGGATGGCTTCTTATAGAAAAACTTCATCAGTTTTCCCAGAACTAAATATATGAAAATAGGTGAGTTGAGGACACAAGGAAGTTCCCACCTAAAATCCACAGACAATGCATTAGCATGGGAGAAGGTTCTATCAATTCCCTCTTGAAGGAACAGGTGGGAAGACTTTGGAAAACAAATATACAAACAGAAGAACACAAGTGGGTAGAAAGAAATGAAGGGAAGTTGAAGACAGACACCTAAGAAGGCTCAACAGGATAAAGGTCTCTTCTGGCACATACTCACATAATGGGAGGCCACTGCTGATCTGGCCCTGTGCAGTCAGACTATTTGTGCCTGATGCCAAAACCCAGGTTCTACGAGCACTATGGAGATRCATTGCAATGGCTGACTGGAGTTAGCCTAAACCCTTAATCCAGAGCAATTAGAGGCACTGGACCCACCTAAATCCTGCAAATCCACCAGAATACCTTTGCACCAGCCTGAAAGGGGTTTACAGAGTCACATGGACCAGCAGGAGCTTTAGTTTCAGGCTCTGTACCAGAGGAGAACAGGCAAACCAAACCCAGATCTGAGCTGGSCTTGAAAGCCATCCCATAAGGATATGTGAACTCAGAACTCAGGCAAACTCAGACAGGCTCTGCTCAGCTGAGAGAATTGCTTCCTCTAGAAGCTGCATGTACATCCAACCATGTAATTGTTAGGGGAACAGACACAGCTTGAAGGCTATTTTTTGTTCATATTTTAGAAGACCTGAAAAATAATTATTCCTGCTATGCCCACTTACCACTTTGTGTTTTGGCTTTGTCATAGAAACTTCCATTTCTTCAGCACCTGAATTATCACTGGGAGAGCCAGATCTAAAATCCATCATCTCTTCCTCTTGTTTCTTGAGGCTGTCTGCTACTGTTTGGATGGCTTTTGTCCATTCTTCCCTGGCAAAATAYAGGCAAAGACATTTATTACTTGTGGCTTTAGATTAACATCTGCCATGGCAAGGATCACCACAGAATACAGAGTCACTAATGCTCTCGGATGAATCAATAGAAGATCCAATGAATTATGTGCATTTTCAAGCACTGTAAAAATGCATTTTTAAACAGGTATTTTTATTAATTGTACTAGAAACAAAAGACAGCTTAAGTTCTCCTCATCTGGACGTAAGACAAGGCTTTTCAGATGGCAGAATTTCTAATGGACATTTTATCAACAGCTCAAGATACGGCGATACAGAGATGTACATAACCAAAACAGACTTACCACAACCAAAAAGCAAAAGGCTTACATGAGGCACAAAGCAATTAAAGACAGCTTCCACACTTCTACGATGCACCAAAATACATGTCTAGCTCCTGGGGACATGATGCCACTTCTTCACACATGTATCCTAAATTTTAGTGGCAAGGAATGTTCTTGGGAGAAGGCCTTAAAGCCTAGGATACTTAGGTCATTCTGTTGTAAAGATGGTGACAGCAGTACAGCAATTTCTGTGTAATCTTTAGCAGAATGTCAGCAAAAGCAGTGACATTTCATCTTAGGCACAGGTCTTGGTTGGGATAAAGTTTCCACAGCTGTTTCAGCAATGGGTGCTCTAACAGTGACCTCTTCAAATCCCATGGAGACCACTTCCACTCCATTGTCCTTCACCTTTGGAAGCTACTGAAGTGAAAGTTCTTGGCCTTCACTCAATTTCACTGCAAATTTATTGAACATAAATAATACAGCTTGTAAGGGCTTCCAGGGTTTCAGGACAGCCTTTAAGACACAGAGGGGCTGAAGACACATCCAGTGGACTGTCAGAACTTCATATGTTTACTGTCTTTTGTATATGTGGGGAACAGGATGTGGTGGTTTAGCTGATGTTTTCTAGGCACTGGTTAAACTCTTCTCCTAAGAACATCCCAGGTAAAATTATTTTTTACTACAGCAGGAACAGCAGCAATGCTGAACAATTCTGTGCACAATCTGAAGCACAGGTGTGCCATCCCTATCAATGTCCAGTTTTWCACTGGTGCTATAAAGTTTGTTGGTTCTTTTAAAATCATATCTGAACACGTGAGTTTCAGTTTGCGATGGATATAAGAGGCTGATCATTCCCCAGAGGAAGCAAACTCCATGGGGAAAAAGTATCCAACACAAGATTCTAATAAAAACTGCACCACGTAATGTCTTTCCTGCCTTGTGCATTTTTTATTTTGGATTTTGCCAGAATTGCACACTATTCATCCAGCCCTGTCTGGGGCAGCAAGGTAATGCTWAACATTCTGAACTTTCTCCCTATACTCCCAGCACAGACTGCTCCATTCACCATCACAAACACATTACCTTATTTACTAGTCATTTTGCTAGTCATTATTTAGAATTATTACAAAAATAACTACTACTTCTGTACTTTTCTCTCCTCCTTCAAAAAAGCAAACATTGGTTTTAAAGGCACAAAGAAAGTTTCATAACTCTTTTGCTACTGACTTGGTTGAGATCTCRGCCCTCCTGAAGTGAATATCTTTGATTTCTGGGAGAACAGAATTTCACCCTCAGCTTTTATGTCTCAAGAGYACACAACAGAGGTGACTAACACTCTGAGCCCTGAAGTGTCACAAAGCTGACTTAATTGGCTAGGAGGGAACAAAACAAGACTGAAATACAATCTTCCCCGAAGTGGAAACTGCTATTCACTCCCTTTAGGGTCACTGACCACAAAGTTCCTAAAAGAAACAAGGACCAATTTCTTTTTCCTTGCTTTTAATTTGACTTAACSTTCTTCTGATCACTGTAACAGAATCAAAAGCAATAATCACGAGCAATMTTTAAATCAGTCTGCATGCAAAGGCTATGAAAGAAAGGAGTAATACTACGTATAATTTACTGGTCTTCAAAATAAACATGTGCCAGTATCATATCTAGGGTTTTAAAGTACCCACTCCCTTAGGGCAATGGTACCGGAATAATTTCAGTTCAGTTTCTGAAGAGCAAGTAAATATTTAAATACTCAGTAGCTGTAGAATAGCTGTGCTGGAAAACTGTTCTCTCTGGAGGTAAGAGATCAATTCTCCAATGATGAGAGCACAGGATGCAGCTCTTAGCATTGTTTCCTAAAACATGAAACAGAAACCTGCACCTGCAGCAGATAACTATCACCTTTATTATCTAATTTGCATAAAACATTAGCAATCAGCATTGATACAACTAACTTTTCCTTTAGAAACAGGGTGTCTAAATAGACTTTAAAAGGTCAGTATTTTGCTAAAACTCAGCTCTGCCTGAATGTCGATTTCACTTGTGCTCATCCTTCCAGAAACTCCCAGGTCACAAACCCTTCATTTCACCACAACACTTCCAGTGAGAAATGAACCTTACATTTCCAGAAATAACTACCTGCGTGCTGGTACACACCTGCACATGTCCATTTTGGATACCCAACCTAACAACACTTCATTTACAAACACTGCTCAAAATCCACTCTCTGAAAACCCCTTTTAGGATATTTTTTATACTGGAAAATACACTGAAACGGCGGCCCTGAAACATTATTTGTCGCTTTTCAATCCAGATGTACATCATCTGATAAATAAGAGCTTCAGCAAAAGACTYGCTATTAATGCTGAACACTTGCATCTGCTTTTGCAAGGAGTTTATGCATTAAATATGAATGAAACATACCGCTCCTCTGGAGTCTCCACATGAAATGTTCTTTCAATTACTGTGGTCCACTGGAGGCATCTAATGATAAATGTGTTTGGTTTAGGTCGCTCTGTCTTCATCAGCTGGCACTCTACCACAATCAAGGAAGAAAGAGTCATGGTACATAAGCAGGTTTAAATAATCATTTGTCTTTATTCTTATCTAGCAAACTGTTGCAATTAATCAGCCATAGAAATCTCTGTAAGGACTTCTTTAGGAGACTTGAGACAATTTACTGTGTTGATGAAACCAATAAATAGCTTGGGAGATAGCCATCTAAGCAGCTCCGAAATCAAATTCTGCTTTSAAAGGCTCCACCTTGGGTCTGCCCATAGAGGTAAGCAGAAACGTGAYGTGATAACACAGAAGCCACTGAGACTCAGGTCCCATACTCTAAAGGTCATCCAGAGCACAGCATATGGCCAAAGTCAGTTGATAATGCAGCAATTACATCCACTGAAACTAAAGTCAAGCCCCTACATTCCCTCCCATTGACTTTCCCAAAATAAAACCCTGTCCACAGCTTCCRAAGAGTCGCAAGAGAGCGTTTGATCATTTTGCAGTGACCCGATGAAGATTAGACTCAGCATTTCCAGTCCTCAAACACTAGAGGGAACATCAAACTGCAAAGGCACCCCCTGAGAAGACCCTGTTCCAAAAGCCTTCGGGAGAGCTGCTGCAGTCCGATGCTGCATGGACATGCAGCGAGCAGCTTCCATCACTGCCAGGGTATAAACACAACCTAAAAAGCTACAGAAGTACAGCTACGTGCAAAGCCATCACTTCCTTCATCAAAATGTTCTATTGGGAGCTGAGTGTAATRTTTTAAATTTTTAAATCACATGTACTACTTCAAGCTTCTTAGATGTTATGAGGGTTTATCCTTCAAATTTGGGCCTGAAAATGCACCTGATAAAGGGTACACTTTAGCTCTATTAACAGAGATCTGAAAAACGAAAGAAAATCAATGAAATAACAACAGGAGCCAAACCACCACATTTTTTAGATTAACATTAATAGAAAATCTAATTAATTAAACAGCTCCTGCTAGAGGAAAGTCAAATTAAGAAACCAAGTGGGGGGGGAGGGGTGTGAAGAGAATGTAATTGTGGGGTTTTTTTCTTGCATTAAACTCTTTTCCTTGCAGTTAATGAAACCTTGCTGTTATTTGGTGTTATTTGGTCTTCAGGTTCTAAATCAACTTCCAAGTAAACATAAAGGCACTACGAAGACAAGAAAAAAATTCTGTTTACTGCTGGAGCTATGAACCTTCTTCACCATCAGCAATGTGCAAGTTGAGGACAGAATGCACCAGAATAACAGTACACGTTACTAAGGCTACAGTGGTACCATTAGGTTAATTTGATTATTGTAAATTCAGAATGCTCAGTTTTAAGTTCAAGCTCTTAATTAGCAGCAAGATAAAATATTTACTGCCAGTGTTTTTGGGCGCCGTATTTTTGGCAATATATTTCATGCCTCATTTGCTACTGGAATTATAAGCTTTTCAATTAGTAACTCTGCATTTTTCATGACAAGAAAATATAATTTTTCTTTAAYAGCATGCTGAGGCTACACTGCATCCTACTAAAAGCACTCGAATTAGATAAGAGAAAGTTTATTAATGAGTCATGCAAAGGCTTTAGCGTGATAAATGGCACTCCTTCATTCACGGCGATGAAACAACTTCCGCACAGCGACGCAGCCRCGCTGGATTTGGCCTTGCAGCTCCCTCCGTCCTCTCTCACAGAATGGCAACGAAAGCCAAACACAACTGCCCGGGCTGGCACAGCTCCGTGAGCCTGATGTCCATAAACTCAGCTCAAAAGATCTCACTCCTGTGCCCGGACTGCCCACCTCAGTTGAGCTTGGCCTTCTTGTTTTTTTGTTTGTTTGTTCTGCCTCCCACTTTCATCTGCTTAATGTGATTAGATTAAGGCTGGGGTTGTCCTCCAGGAGCCTGCACAATGCTGCTGTAATATACTGAAATTGCCTGAAGACTCAAAGAACATCAGGTTATAGCCTAACCTTGTGCTAATCCAGACCTGTTCTCCCACACTTAACCTAAAGTACAACATTATGAAGAAATAAACAAAGAGGTTTTGCTTACTTCTTAAAAACACTTTAGATTCACATCCTGAAGTAGCTGCRTAGATATTTAAACTAGCCATGAAGTCTAAATTTAACCATTTAATTTCAATGTGATAGACCACACAAGTCTTCTTCTGTCATAGAGGAGGTCCAATTAAATATCACTCTTCCCCTAAATCAGCACTGTCCATTGATATTTGTTAAGCTTGCTGATCCAGCAATCTTTAAGGCATACAGCAAGATGAATAATAGAGATTTGTCAGTTAATAACCACTATAATTCAAGTATGTCACACAGAATTGTTTTGTTTAGTAAACAATATGCTATCTAATTACCCTGCTCAATCATAACAGCACATATCAAGAAATACAGAAGGCTTTCTTTTTAAATTGTTTTACTAAAGTGCTGTACCACATAGGTTCCAGAAAGTTTGAAAATACCACTTAGCTCTCATCATATATGACAATCACATGGATTATATCAATGAAACAAATGAACAGTATCTTTTTTCTTACTTTTAAACCAGACTGTTGACAAGTTAGAGAAGCACCAAATTCACCTTCTCTAATCATGTAGTGCAACGTGYACCACTCCAGCAGAGTACATTACAGATGCTGTGTAGTGTTAGGTCTGATTTATGGCACGTTTGGGGGTTCTGTTATAAAAACATTCACATTTCAAATACAGGCCGAGGGTCGCTTACCCACTTTGAACAAAGTTTTTTCTGCGAAACAGGTCAACGTAAGTATTTCCAATTTGCAACAGAGTAAGCACTACAAACGGCAGCCTGTTAAAAATTACTTAAATTGCTTTAAAGAACCTCTTGATTCTTTCTTGGTGTTTGGTCTTTTAAAGTAAGTAGGACAGAGAAATTGCTCCTAACAGGAATAGACACCAAGGCATTCAAATGTAAATTACCATTTTGTATTTGAAAGACACTTAGTATTATCCCAGTGACTTTCTAAAATGTCACAATATTTGCTTTCCCAGCACTTAAGCTAAAAGGCAGATTACTTTCGATGAAAGTGTCAAACTCTGCTCCCTATATAATGACATCACACTTAAAACAATAATGTCAAGGAAGAATCCWTCCCATTACTTCTTTGGTTTCTTTAAGAAACGATATGGAGAAAAAGAAAAAAGAAAATAGGGAAAAAAGGAAAAAGGTAGATCAGAAAATAAAGAATGATTAAGAAATAAAACTTTTTTAGAAAGAAAGGCAAACAGGAATATTATGTTGAAGTGTTTGTTTTCTGCTAGCACCATTGGATAGATTCACTTCTGAACTGCTCAGCATAACAAAAGTGAGGGGCCAGAAGCACCAAGTTACAGACCTGCACAAAGGTGGCTATTAGTAACAGCAGAAAAAAAATCCAACCACAAATCTGGCCAGCCCGTGCCCTCTGATAAATGCTTGACTGCAGACACACAGTCCTGTCCCAAAAGGAGTTTTCATATTGTTGAGCAATTATGTTTTCYGCTGTACAACAAAACCACCACAGTCCATCTTCCTTTTTGACAGCCGGGAGAAATAATCCCTTTCTAACACTAACAGCCTCACTCTCCATGTGGTTTTTCACAATGTACTGCTTTTCTCAGCTATATGGTTTTAAAGGCTTATAACCTAATAGGGAGACATACATGATAATCCAAGCTTACAATCGGTATGAAGGCTACTTATCTCACAGATTTACAACACAGCCTCTATTGSTTATTCATCTGCAGGGGCTCTGGAGCAGAACTTTTAGGTACAAATTTTTTTTATTCCTTCTATCTTATTAGTGGTAAACTGCAGAACACAAACACAAACAAGACTAAAAAATCTCAGTTAAACACTCAGACACCATCTTTCAGTTATTTGGGATTTTTTGGATTTATTTTTTGGTTGTTGTTGGGGTTGTTTTTAAATAAATTACCAACAGGTTAATTCCAGAGAAAATACACTTAAACACAGSAAACAAAGATATAGGGCTACTTTAAAAAGAAAATTAGGTGGAGAACAAGTTGCTTAAAATAAATGGYGAGCCTCTCTTTAGCTAGAGTGGCTTAGAAACAAATTTTCAAAAACATATTATCAAAACCCTCACAGACCAAAAGCAAAAGGCTAGTGCAGGAGAAAGAAGAGACTGTCAAGCACATGGAAATCACACACTATTTATTGCTAATACTTTCTTCATACTTGTTAAGGGAGAAGACAGGCATCCATTAGTTGTTATCTTCTGTCATTGTTTTCTTATGAATTATTTCCTGCTTCTCATGAGCTGACAAAATCACTCAAAATGAATTTTATACTACAAGTAATAAAATTCCCGTTTTAAAAGAGCCCTCCTTTTACTTGCAAAGATAAAAAAAAGCCTACATTATTTTACAGAAGAGAGTAAAGATTTTAATCAGAAACATGGGACCACTTCCAAACAACAGACTGACAGAGACAGCCTGCCATCTCATTWAAAAAAATCTGGTTCACTAATTAACAAAAAAAGTCAGGGCTATCATGGTCTCTTGAAGGAAAAGAAAACAGAAGGATTAATTTTTGCAAAATATTTAATGTGAATTCCCCCCACCTTTCACTGGCAGGAGGCTTCTACAGGCCTGTGCTCTGGCCTGAGCCTTTCTCCAGAGACAGMTCAAATTCACTCACACTAACTCAACATGTTAACCTAAATGATCAAGCAAGCAGGTTCAAAGGGAAAGCGCATGGTGCAAAACACATCCAAACAATAGGATCCCTGAGATTAGCTCAGCTGGTTAGAGCCTGGTGCTAATAACACCAAGTTTGTAGGTTGAATCCCCATATGGGCCATCTTTTTAAAGAGTTGGACTGGATGATCCTTGTGGGTCCCCTCCAACTCAGAATTTTTTGTGAATCTGTGAAAGTGTGGAGGGCACCCAGAAGGGACACAAGYGCTGGCAGCATTGCATGCTATTGCCTACAAGAGAAATTAAATCCTGGTGGGGAAACAGCTGCTTCTGTGGGCTCAAATCCACAATAATGACTTCCAGCAAGGACGCCCCACATCAGCCATCAAGGCCTTCCTGACCTACCACTGGTTCACCAGGCAAGAGCCACCACTAGGAACATCCTCCCACCCACCACCCAGCCCATAATGCCTCTTACAGGGACTACAACTCATCTATAGGCATGTGCTGTGTCTTCTCTGACAATGCTYTGATGCCATGGAAACAAACCTGTTTATCTATAAATGCTGAGACTGATGGGCTCAATATTCCAAAAAAGGCACCATACTCCTGTTGTGAAAACCTATTTAAGTTAACCCATTTTACAGGCAACTTGGACACAGAAAAAGCAATGGTCACATTTTTACTCCTTAGCACTGAGCTGCCCAAGTAATGCAGTTAGCAGCAAAAGGATGGAAGTGTCCTCCAGAAAGTGCATTTGTTGAAAGCCTCTGGCTATAGACCAAGTACCGAATTAATTTATGAATTAATAGCTTTCTGCTGCTTTGCTTTACCTTCTTGATCTGTAAGAAGATACCAGGCTAAAGAGGAAAGTACCATGTCATTACTGAAATGAAAACACTATGACAATTCTCTCTCTAAAATGAGACAAAAAGCCCCAAAGCACTCTTGGCACAGAGGCACCAGGCAACAGCACATCCATTATTTATCCCCATCATCACTTAGAACAGGTATGCTGCTACTGGAGGAAAAATAACGAACATTTCCATTAATTCCTACTGCTACCCAGCCCTCTTCCAGGACCAGGGTGTTCCAAAAGAAATATGTGCATAATGAACAACTACAGAGGTGAGCCCCAAGTATTTCGAACTACCCTGTAATGAAAAGGGAAAGCCCCTCCCCTTCTCTCTGCAGARCTTTGCTTCCACTAGTCACCAGGAACACAAAACAATCACTGTTAATAACAGGTGCCACAATGATCTATTTTTAAGTGGTGGAACGAGACACAGGCAGATCATGAGACAGGAAAGATTAAGAACGGGAGAAAATAAAAGCTGGAAGTATACAGCAAAAGGTTAAAAACATGAGCAAGAAAAGGAAATTATCTTCAGAGTCTTCTATGACATCCTGTGCTGCAGCACCTGAGTAAAGTCGGAAATGTCTGCATAGGAGAGAGTGCAGAGGTTAGGAGATGTTATTATTTCCAAACCCTTTTGTTTGCTTTGATAGAACTGTGAATTTGTGTTCAAAAGTAAGGAAAAACAAGCCTGTTTCATTAAAACCCATGCTCACTCTGCCTTCTCTTAYGCTAATAATTAAGTAACTCTAACCTATGTCAATGCCACTGGAATCCAGATCTGATGGCAGAAATGCTTCCACTGAGCTTACCTACCAAGTACTGAGACATGCACATGGGTTAATTTTCATTTTAAAGCAATTTGCTGAATAACAAACATACAAAATATCAAAAGATAAACCTGTCTTATTTGATAACCAGAAACAGTAAATTAGTAGAAGGCTAAGACAAAAAAAAAAGCAGAGCATCAAACCGCCACATCACAATAATTCCTGAGAAACACAGAGTGATTTATCATCTCAAATAAACACACTCAGTTTAGATACATTGTTCTGGGCAGACCTGAATGCTACTGATGGAGCTTACCAGCTGTATTACAAAACATCAACCCCCAAACTGGACAAAAGAGCAGCTAAAAACACTTACGAGCTACTGAGAAGTTATTTAAAGGTGATTCCCTCTGGTCAACATCCTGCGGTCGCTCCTTGTAGCCAATGAAGGTGCCATCGTTCTTTAACAGAAAATACCGTGGCCTCCATGTTTTGATGTATTCTCCTGGAAAGAGAGGATGGGCAAAGAGAAAGAACATTAGAAAACACCCCAAAATACTGACACACCAAAAATTTCTGTTAATATTGAAACTATATGTCATCCTGACAGCAGCAGTGTTAAGAACATTCAGTTCAGTCTGATACAAACAGTGGAAAAACACAGGCACTGAGTCACATACTGATAGCGACGTTAGCCATAAAAATGGGACTTCATAAAAGGTAAACAGCTATGCTTTGTTCTTCCATCCACTTCTATTTCCATTCAAATTCTGCAACATCTGCCTTAAAYGCATTTTAAATTTTAAAAAAATCAGAGCAGATGTCCTATGTATTATTTTTGCTATTGTCATTTTTCATACTGACAAGTGGAGAAATTTTTTTCATTTACATTTTGCAGTGCAAGTATTTTAAACAACAATGGGTAATTTACTAATTAGTCAACTGCTTTATCAAACCAACAGTCACTTTTAGACCATAAGAAGATAATTCTCTGCTTATGTTACATAACACTCACAACATCTCAAGCATGAAACACAAGATGATATATCACAATATGAAGGGGAAAACACTGGATGATGCATAGCCACCACAAAGTAGAAAACAAACATCTACTCTGRAAGATATGCCACCTTTCTTTGTCTGAGAAAACACCCATTGCTCACACCATGCTACTGCTCATCTGAGTAACCTGCACAGGTGACAGCTGTGTGACTGTTTTACAGCCACATTCAAAATGCCCAGCAGTAGAATAAAAAGGGTTCATCAAAACCCCTCTTATTTACCAGATTTATTCAGTTGGTCTCCAGGGAAGGAAGACAGAGGTCCCAGCTACAGCCCCTCTGATGACTGTCAGTATGCCTCAGTCTTTTGCTCATTGACCAGATCATCATTTTCTCAGACAGTCTCTCAAGAACCTCAAATAGCTTTTCACGGTGCCAAGCTGCCTCTCTCAATCCTACAAGGTTCTACAGTAATGTTTCAACTCAACTGAGTCCCCAAACCTTATTCACGATGTTATTCTAAACACAGTACTGGCCACAATTTTCCAATTSTGCTCACCCCAACAACTGATTTAAAATTTTAAAAGGAAACGGTCAACTACAAAGCACCCACTGCTGCACAACAACCGTACCCTCCTCCCTTCTGTATGGTTTCCCATTTGTTTAATGCTGGAGAGAAGATGAGGGTGCACACCAGGATCCCTTAGCAGCCTGCCACAGAGCAGGACCACACTTGTGCACCCTGTGATGCTGCCCTGCAGTGGCTGGTGCCCAGTGCCCATAGGTTCATCTGCTGGCAAGCTCTTCTAACAACCAAGAACAGTGAGAGGAGAAGGCTCACCAGATTTACTGGCTCTGGCAACCTTTTGCTGCTCTCCCATTCTCCCAGGCTCCACATACACTCTCCTCCTTTCCTGCTGCKCAGCTTTTCTTTGCCGGTTGATTTCTCTCCCAGCGAAGTGCACCCTGCCCCAGGAACTCCCTTGCAGCTGCTTTGTCTCCTTCCTCTCCCCACAGACCTCCTCCCCGTCTGCGGTGCAGTTTCAACCTGCTTCAGGCAGCAGCTGTGGCACTTCTCCATTCACACTCATCCTTCTCCCTCCTGCACACAGAAGCAGAAGCAACCCCTATGCCCACACCACACAGCCACAGGTGTGCACAGCCCTCAGCAGCTGCTTTCACCTCTTTAGTCCTTGYTGGGATTTCAATTTTCTAATCTAAAGCAAAAAACTAAAAGCTACTGAACTGTTAGAGAGTCACACAGAGCCACCTTTGCAGTGGCCATGTCTGCAGAAAATATCCATTTGAACTGATGAAACAGGTATAGGGAAAGAAAAAGGAGAGGAAAAGGAGCACAAACCTTCTCAGTGTTTCTTTCTAAGTRTTACACCAACCTAATAAGGGGTTTACAAAAGTGCCATCATCACTCCAGGAAATTCAGAAGAACTCACCTGTCATGGTTTAACATTTATAAGCAAGAAGGTAAATGTAGAAGGTTTCATTGTAATCATCTTTTGAATTCTGACTTTAATTAAAAGCTGAAAACTTTCTGGGATCAGCAGGAGATTATGAAGCCTTTCACATTTAAATTATCAGTCCAACTCRGCCCAGATCAGTGAGATTGAAGTAATCTCATTACTATTATACCACAGATGTGACTAGAGGGACAAGATACATGGCACACTCRGCCCAGCTCTTGACCAGAGGTTTGCAAGGAAGCAGGTTGGGGAGGTGGCTGCCCAGACTATCAGGATTTTGGAACTGCTGTTAAATACCTGACTCACTGGTATTTTCTTCTCTTGCATAWAGCACACCCAGGAGACGTAAGAACCACCACATATCCCTTACCACACCTGCATTTAGGACTAAATTCAGATTGGATGGGATAAAAAATATCTGAACAAGGACAAGACAAAACATCCACTTCCCTTACTCCCTAATTTATTCTACATGTCTTCTCCACTGGCATTTACAGAGGGGATATTTATTTTTTGAAGATTCTGAAATTATTAGCTGGTTATTTTCAGTGAAGTATACATAATTCTGCACAAAATTACACTGTACTCTCACAGGAGACTTTCTCTTAGATTAGATGCTTGTCTGGCTCTCATATTTTCTTACAGCTTTATCCCACCGATCTGCTTCTCTGTTAGAAACACATCTTCTAACAGGATTAATCACAGTTTTTAAAATGGTGCATTCCATATATATATAGCATCCTCCTCCACACTCACTTTTTCTGTGTGAAAAATCAAGGATTTCATTACCGCCAGGCTTTCTGCAGGGATCATTCTACTTGGATCTTCCTTTAAGGAGAGCTTTAGCTGGTTCTGGTTCCTGATCCACCTTTTTAATTTGAAAATAAGTAATATGATTTCATTTGAATTTTTTCCACATGTCTGGAGTTTAATGAATACTGTAATATGGCAAGTTGACATACTATTGATTATTGTTCTTTCCAAGGAGAGTATGAGGCACAATGCAGCATCTGTGGTATAAATTTTTATTATATAACACACTGAGGTTGAACTTCTGCATCCTGCAAAAAAGTGGAAAGACACTGCCCGGTGTGTGACTTCCCAAACAGATGATCTCAAAGTATAATTTTACATTCAAGCCTGAGCCAGATATCATTCTCTGCAGAAGCTGGGACACACAGATTCACCAACAGTCATCAAAAGGATGTACAAAGTGCATATTCTTAAGAAATAAATTTATATTTTTATRATTAGCTAAAAGACTATAAACAGCCTACAACCCATGAGGGCCACATCAAAGGGTGAGTGTAAATCTGAGTACTAGAGGCAAAAAGGGAGTTTGTCAATACAGACAAAAAAATAATTATGTGAAACTGCTGGGACAARGCTCTCTGAAAAATACCAACACCTTTTCCTTCCTCCGATATACTCAGCAAGCTATCATGCCTGAAGAGTGAACTGAGCTGTTTCAATTTTTGCCCTGTGTTCTTTGTTCCTGTTGCGGTTTTGTTTTTAAGAATCACAAGAAGAAGTTACTTGCAGTCACTAATATTAGCAGTTATGTAGTCACACTAGAAAGAATCGTACCGAGTACAGTAAATGCAAGCATGTGTGGCAAATTCTATCAGACAACACTAAAAAAAAAAAAAAGACCCACCATGGAAAAGTGAACAATTTACAAAGCAAAACATTTTTTCCTCTGTGATTCATTGCTTGTGTAATGCCCTGGCAGAGCCTTCTTTGTTTTCAGTAACAGAATGCTAACACTGCAGAGACAGGAAAGCAAAAGCATGGGTTATAAATCCTACATATAAAATCCTGGAACCAAATAGACTCCTCTGTAGCTTGCTAGCTTTATTATTTAAAATCTTTATGTACCATTCTGTTTACTCCAAGCAATTTCCAAATTGCAAAGATTCCCAAACTGTATATATCTTGAAACATACACAAAGATTGTTATAGACCGATTTCCCTTTATTGCCTTGTGTCTGCCCCCACACACTGCACATTAAAATACTTAACACACACTTAGAATGTAAATCCATCTCATGCCAGAAAAGCTTTTTCGCTGTAACACATACTGCAAAGCACACTTATGCCTGAATATTTTAGAAAAAGTTAAACACAAAACTCCTTTGGCTCATGAAAAGTTAATTCTACTGAGGATTTACAATAATGCAGGGTTAGATTATTTTCCTCTCCTCTCCACAACAGTATCTCACCGAATCTGGAGCTGTCTACCACTGATAGAGTGTCTAACATCAGAAACAGCTGCCACTCCCTGGGAAGCTCACAGGGTAAGTGGAGAATAATGAGCAGCAAGCACCAGCAGAACAAAAGAAAATCCATCTTTATTTACCAACTGCTGCATGCTTGTTGCTGYATCAAGCTCATTCAAAGCCAACACCACACCCTTTAATTCAGAACAGACTATATTTAAGAAGCCTCTGCTTTTTTTTTTTTTTTTTTAATCAACTCATACATACCAATGGTTTGAAAAAAAATCATTAGGTTAACCAAGTCAGTATCCAATACTACCCTTGATATTTACAAAAGCACCGGACCAACTATTAACTTTCTTATGGCCCAAAGTAACCAAGTAACAAACCCAGGAGCACTGACTGAAAACAAAGTCTCAGATGAAATGCAGTCCAGTGGCTACCGCAAATCTACAGCCAAATAATGCATTAAACTTTCTGCTCTGAGCATCAGAAGTAGCATATTTAATTGCATTTAAGCTCAACACACAAAAAATTAGAGCTCTTGAGTTATGCAAGCCTTCTCTACATTCCCACACGCTCTGATGATGTACGACACTCCCTGCTTGTACAGCCCCAGTTCCTGTCCGAGGGAACATGAAAGTTATGCCAATGCAGCGCTAATGTGCCACCCGTCAAAGGCGGAATGACTCATTTCTGAGCCTCAATGGCCATGAGAAGTGGTCTGCATCCTGTCGGCCTAATAAGGGCTCGGCAAAAAGATGCCAATTTCCTTAAGGACGTGAAGCTTTCAGGAGCTGCCATCTA